ATAGTCAATTGACTCTCTGAAAGTACCTTTTTTTTTTCATTTTATGAAACAACTGAAATCAAAGCCCAGAACCAGCACTAGGAACATGAGTTTGAAGTCAAACTGAGTCCATGTATTCCATGATGGAATATAGCCTGCAGTTCTCAAAAATGATTCAGGATCATGGGCATTAGTTATTTATATTTGTTTTTAACTTAAAATTGTTTTTGCAGTAAACAAATTTAAAATAGAGAATTGTTTAGTCAATTTTATACCAGTGTTCTCATTGACGTGTTGAAAATTACTGTGCCCATAATTATGCACGTCTAGGTAAAACTTTTATATAAACAATTATATAAACATTTATTTTTACTGTCTGTCAACTAAAAAAAAATCTACTCCAGCCCTAAGATGCTGACCAATAATAACCCAACCACCATGTTAAGCAGTGAGATCGCTGACCTTTTATCTTGTATTACCTGCCTCCAGGCAAGGAGGATGCTAGTCATTCCTGTGTTCTCAGGAGACAACTTGCAGGCTCAATCTAAGTAGGAAAAAGCTGCACAAAAAGATTCAACGTTTAACACAGGGACACATCCCTGTGAAGATGACAGCTAACTTGGGATCACAGATATTCTGTTTACTGATTCACTGTAACGGGAGGGCATGGCCCAGAACCCATGGCTTGCCTTAACAAGCTCGCAGACCAGTGATAGTCCTCATAACTGCAGTGTGTTAGCCGTATGCACCACTTTTCCTCTCTATTGGTTCATTTTCGCTTCATTTTCACAGCAATGCAAGTGTCACTGCTGCAACCTAGCTTTACAGTAAAGCCAGTTCATTAACTCAATAATTTAATAAATATTTATTGAGAACCAACTATGTACCAGGAACTGTTCCCCACACCAGGAATAGCAGTAAACAAGACTTGACAAACTGCCTCCCCTTGTGCAACTTATTATTTCAAAAGAAATAAATGAATTTGTAATCTACGATAGTAATCACAGCGGTAACGGACATAAAACAGAGCAATGGGTGGAAAGTGGAAAGCCACCTGGAGACCTGGAGACAACATTGAAAGCCCAGGACCAGCGGGCTCAAAGGCTGAGCAGGCAATGAGCCTGGTTGGTGGGAGGCATGCAGGCTGGCGGGAGCAGAAACTGGCACAGGAGTCGAGCGGTGGGAGATGAGGCTGGAGGCCGGCTCACGTAGGCAGGGACCACGCACTGGCGACGGTCGCACAGCAAAGCCCTCCCTCTCGCCACACCAGCGCCCAAAATGGTCGTCTCCGATAGCGAATTCCGCAATAAAATGCTCCGTGGGCGATTTACCAACCCGGGCTCGTCCGCCAGGAGCCGCCCTTGCAGGCGTTGGCCGGTTGATTTCCTCGGCCTTTATCGCCACCTGCCGGCAGTGCTCGGTGCAGCCGCGCCGCGGGGCGCGCACGTGGGCTGAACGCGGGCAAACCCAGCGCGCCGCCGCGGACCCCTCCCGATTCCTAGCCGTGTCCCAGACGCCAGAGACTCAGGTCGAGGTTCACACATTACTTCTCGAGATATACAGAAATGGGACAGGAAATATACAGAAGATACACAGTTCCCTGGAACTTCCATTTACCCAATTAGCCGGATTGTTTGGAGGCAGATCTAGGTACTTACTCTAGGTTATCCATATTGGGGACAGTCATTCAAAAGAGCAAACCGCCGGGCGCGGTGGCTCACGCCTGTAATCCTAGCACTCTGGGAGGCTGAGGCGGGCGGATTGCTCAAGGTCAGGAGTTCAAAAACCAGCCTGAGCAAGAGCGAGACCCCGTCTCTACTATAAATAGAAAGAAATTAATTGGCCAACTGATATATATATAAAAAAAAATTAGCCGGGCCTGTAGTCCCAGCTACTCGGGAGGCTGAGGCAGAAGGATCGCTTGAGCCCAGGAGTTTGAGGTTGCTGTGAGCTAGGCTGACGCCACGGCACTCACTGTAGCCTGGACAACAAAGCGAGACTCTATCTAAAAAAAAAAAAAAAAAAAAAAGAGCAAACCTTCCACTGCTCTTCCCTACTGTCCCTGGTGGACAATTACTAAAAATTAGTAATTTCTACTACGTTCTCCCCTACCCCTCCTCATACTTTGCAGGTTACCAGGGACCCTTGACTGCCAATCATCCCCAGAGTGCCTCCCCAGTTGCCCCTACCATTCATCCCACTACAGTTGACCTGCAGACCCTGAGAATAAGAATAAATTCTTTAAAATCAAGGTGTCAGCTGGGCAAAAAGAAAAAATAAGAATAAATTATTGTTGAAAGGCCATTGGGTTTTGCAGTCATTTGTTGTGCTGCATTATTATTGGGGACATAGCTGACGAATACAGAGAATTCCCAACAGGACATGCTGTTAGGGGTCTCTCTCTTTTATTAAGACAGGCCTGATGTATGTCCATATGCACATGTATGGAGGTATATTTCTGCACATGAGAGTTGACCCCCATGCAGCTCTGAGTAAGTGGGAGAAAATCTATGTACAGCACTGCACATGCGTGGGGTTTACTCTCTGTCATGTCTTGAGAGATGATATGGCTACACGGAATATGAGGGAATCTCCCGTCCAAGTACTAACCAGGCCCAACCCTGCTTAGCTTCCGAGATCAATATAAGGGAATCTACATTCAAGCTTCATTTCTTGATTTTTCTCTTTAGAACTCAGGCATTCCCTCATAGAAAGAGTCCAGCTTTTGACTAAAAACCTATGTGCGATTGTTGAGCCCAAACACAAGCAAGGCCTGGGGAGAAGGCTGCCCTCCCCACACCAGACTTGGGCACAGCCAATACCCTGCAGGCTCTAAAGGCAGCTACAGTCAAGGACTCCGAGGCCCCAGACAGCCAAGCTCCTGCATTCCTAGCCCAGGTCTTCATCCAGACGCCTCTTTGCTGGGGACCTTCAGCCAAGACCTTATTAGGAGGCGAGGGGAAATTCTTGATGCTTTTCTCCACGCTGACTCAGTACTTTTTCCAGTCTCTCTTCCCTACCCCTTCCCTCACCCCCAGCTTCATAAACCGGCAGGAGCCTTTTGTTGGACGCTCCTCTGCTGTGAGACTATCTCCACATCTGTGCTCTCCTCATCCAGTATAAACTGGGACACAGTGGATGTTCTCTGGTTTACCTCTTCCATATATTATCACAGCAAGCAATTAGGGATTGGCTGTTTTAGGAGGGGAGCCCAGGGCCAGGATGCAGTTAGAGATAGGGCCTTGCTTTGTTGCCCATGCTGGAGCACAGTGGCTGTTCACATGTGTGATCGTAGCTCACTGCAGCCTTCAACTCCTGGGCTCAAGCTATCCCTCCACCTCAGCCTCCCAAGTACTGGGGCTATAGGTGAGCGCCACTATGCCTGGCTTGGCTGTCACTTTCATTGTGACTCATCTTGATCAGCAACTCTGACAGTAGGCAGCTCAGCTCTCCCCAGCTCAGCTGAGCTCCTGGCAGTATAGTGGTTAAGAGCAAATGTCTCTACCACTGACTAGCCTGGAGACTTTGGAAAAATCACTTTACCGCTTTATGCTTTGGTTTCTTCATCTGTACAAGGAATTGATAACACTATCTACATCCCAGGGCTGTTTGTGTGAACATGTGCTGAGCTGATATATGTAAAGCATAGAATAAGCTCTACTTAACGTGTTTGCTATTACATCCAGCATGGTCCATCTCGGTTCAGAGATCCATACAGTTCTGGAGAGTGGCAATTAACTCAACCTCTGTCATGTGCTTCACCCCAACCACCCATTCCCCTGCTCCAAGGCAGAGTACATGACCTGGACAAAGCCAGTAGGCACCTCTCTACCTCCAACACTGGCTCAAGGTGGGCATTGATATAACCCAGTCCCGTCACAGTGAAAACTCTGGCTGAAAATGTTAGAACACAGCAGGACACATACAAGGAACCTGGGAAATGCTGGCATATTGGGACCACAAGGAGTGCCAACCTCAGGAGGAGGACAGTACCTTGGAAGACAAAATAGAGAAACAGAAATCAGGTCCCTGTGCCATCACTTGATTTCTGAATAAAGCCTCACCCAGACTATTTACCTGAGCCCTTGATTATTTAGGCCAATTTGAGTTGGTTGTTCTGTTATTTATAACCAAAGTCTTCCAACACAGAGTGCATCCATGAGTGGCCAGTCTCACGAGGGTTGTAGTGGTCTAGGTCCCCAAGGAAGCCAACTCTGAGATGGAGTGTAGGGGTCGTTTATTAGTGAGTGCTCTTGGAATCAACAACTGGGAAAGGGAGGAGAACCACGTGAGATTGGGCAGAGGAACCGATGCAGGCCCTAGGACAGTTTCAGCTGACCCTACCGGGGGTTCTGGGGCCAGAAGAGCCCCTGTTCCAAGTTGGGCCAAGATTGTCTGGGCCTTTGATACCTGCACATCAAGCAGTCACTGGATAGGGGAAGGAGCTTGACCTTGGCTGAGGTAGTTCTCAGCAGCTGAGGCAATCCCTGAAGCGTCTGATTGCTGAAATACCTGCCAACAGCGCCTCTGAGTCTTTGCCTGAAGGGGGATCTGGGCGGTCATGTCTTAAGTCCACCACAGAAGACTACGCAGTGTGGAATTGTGTATAACTATGCACCCGAGTGTGAGTTTGTGTTCATGTCCAAATGCAGTTGGGACAGAGGCAATGGACAGGCAGATGGCTGGACTAGAAGAGAGATGGCCATCTGCAGTGAAGGCCCAGCAAGTTCCCAGATGTGTTAAACTCAAGAAGTCTCCCCTTCACCATAGGCACTGGCTCAACAGGTCTGGGCACAAACTGGAGGGAAGCTGGGCTCCCACTGCACCAGGAGGGAGTGGCCCAGAGCCACACGGCCATGGAGACTTGTGCAGGGGGGTCACTCCAGCACTTCTTTAGGAGTAGTTTTGAGCCCCAGATCCTGTCAGCACAGTTGCCCACCCCTTATCTTAAGATGAAGTCCATTCTTACCACATCTTCTACAAGGCCTTGCTGGGGACCCCCAGATACTGGCAAAAGCAAATGCAAGTCCAGCTTTATTGGTAAAAGAATTGGTAGAAGGCATGACAGATTTACCTGGGAATTTCCACCTAGCCGAGCAGTAGCACCAGCAAGAAAGAAGGGAAAGAAAGAGAAAAACAAAGAGAAGGAAGGAAAGAAAGGAGGGAATGAGGGAGGGATGGAGGGACGAATGGACTGCAGATCAGTGTCTAAATGGAAACACGGTCCTGGAAATAAAGGATTCAAGGCTCCAGGTCTGGGCAGAGGGCAGGGAGGGAAGGGGTGGCCCACGGCACCGCCATCTAGAAGGGTAGCAGCTCTTCCATAGGTATGTTGAGGATGACCTCCATGTCTGGGGTGCACCTGGAGGGAAGCAGCAAAGAGGGGTGTGAGAGGCCAACAGGGTGCCAGAGTTGGAGTGGGCAGTGCAAACTCTCAGGGGAGCCCAGCTCTTTAGAGCAGTACTGGTACTTACAGTGAGGGGCAGGTAGGCCCAATCCCAAAACACAACCTGTGACCTGGAAGGCCAATTGGGCGTGTACACACACACACACACACACACACACACACACACACACACACACGTACGTACAAAACATAAAAAATGGAAAAGGAATGAGTTTGGCAGGACCAATGTTCCCCTAAAGAGTCTGAGGACAAGAGGCAGCAGGGACCCTGCTCTGAAATGCTGAGGCCCGTCAGGACAATCACTCTCTTTGGAGTCACGATGACTGCTTTGGGAACCTGACTCTGTGTCACCTTGAAACATTTTTCCTCTCTGAGCCTCACTCCTTCAGTTGGCACTTATGTGTCAACCACCCACTACATACCATATCCCAGGGAAGCCTCTGTTTCCTCTTATGTCAAATGGGGATAATAATTCTGACCTGGGTCATTGGTGGGAAGATTAAATGAGACCAGCATGTGATAAGTGCTCAGGAAATAACAGCCATTATTCCTTCCATGAAAGTAGCAAGAAAGATGGATTCCCATCGGCAGCATAGTCCCCATCTCAGTGACCAGCACAAACAGGTAACAGACTGAGGATCATGTTCTCTCTCCCAAGCAGATCGTCCACTCTCATGGTTTCCACAATCTACCAACACACATGGAGTATTTGGGCATGAAATGTCAGGATGTCTGCAATTTACGATACTTTAGCCAAAAAAAAAAAAAAAAGAATGAATGAAGATGAAGCCAAAATGGCAAAAATATAACAATTTTTAAATCTAGATGGGCAACTGGGTATTCATTATAATATTCTCTCTGCTTTTCTGTATATTTGAAATTTTTCATAATAATAGCTAAACAGTTCATCTCTATAGTGGCAACACCCAAATTTCTACCTCCAGCCAATATCTGTCCTCTGAGGTCTACATTCATCTACTCAACCGCCCACCTGATGACTCCACGTTGACATCTCACACAAACCAAACTTACCGTCCAAGTCAACTTCTGACTGCACCTACAGACGCACCCGTTGCCCCAGTCTTCCCAACCTCTGCGTCTGGCACCACCACACCCCCTGCTACAAAAGCCAGGAACCTAGGGGTTACTTCTGACACGTCCCTGTCTTGTACTTCCCACATCCAAACATCACCAATCCTACAGATTTTACCTCTTTAAATGCTTCTCCAGTCCATCCATTCTACCCATCTCTTCTGCCACCCGCTTGGCAAGGCCACTCCCAACGCTCCCTTGGACAACGGTCCTCACACCCACCTGGACCTCCCATTCCCGCTCTGGCTCCTCTCCACTCTCAGATATCCCCATGCCCTTTTCAAAATGATGTTTTTAGAATATAAATCTGATCATGTCACCGTTCAGCTTTCAGGATCAAGTACAAAACTCTGGCCTACAGGGTCCTAGGGGCTGAGCTGTCCAGCCTCCTCCCTGCCACTCTCCCCATCACTTTGCATTCCAGCCACACTGGCCTCACTCAGCTCCCTGTCAACACCAAGTTCCTTCCCACCACAGTTGCTTCTCAGCCTCACTGCTCAGCATGTGGTCCACTGGGACCAGCAGTGTAAGCATCGCCAGGGAGCGTCTTAGAAATGCAGAATCTTCAGCCCCATTCCAGACCTACTGATTTGGAACCTGCTTCTTAACAAGACCCCTGGTGTTTCCTATGCATGTTCTAGCTGGAGAAGCTCCACTCGGCAGCATGCCAGGCCCATGCCTGCTGTTCGTCCAGGTGGAAGGTGTCAGTGAGTGCACTGCCTCCTCCTCACTCTACTCCTGGAAAGGGGTATGACCGCCTGGATGGTGAGTCCAGGGAAGAAGGAGACGCAGATAGCCCAGCCCCTTCCTCTCTCAGCAGCAAGCAGCCCACAAGGACTACACTCTGCTTCAAAGGCTGCCTCCAGCCGGGTTCAGCTCCACCATGACCAGTTGGCTCAATTTGCTTAATTCTGAATTCACGATTCAGAAGCCAACAGGCCTAGATATGAGCCACATTCTCTAACATCAGAATAACTTTTACCAGAATAAAAGTGATAATCTGGCCCCTGTGTGCCCTGCCCTGTGAGTCCTATTCACTGGGTTCAGAGCTCAGGTAAAGACAATGAGTGCCTACTTATAACCTCCCTGAGAGACCCAGCCACCATCTAGAACTGCTGTCCCTTCAGCTCCTCCATGTGTCTCCTTTGCTTAGTGACCGTCTATGCATCCTTCAGATGTCACAACCACAGGAAAGCTTCCTTGACTTCCCAGACTCACTGTCCTGGGAGAGGCTCTTCTGGTGCCATGCACTTGCCCCAGCAGCTCTGGGCTCAGCCGAAACTTGACACTGACTTGTGGCTCACCATCAGTTAATGTCCGGCTCCCTCCTTGGCTCCATGGGGGCAGGGCCAAGGGGGGTTTTCATTCACATGGTGCCTAGCACTTCAAAAATTCAACAGTAATTTTAAAAAAGAGGAAGAAGAAGAAGAGAAGGAGGAGAAAAAGGTAGAGGAAGAAAAAGGATAGGAGGAGGAGAAAGACACAAAGATAAAAAATTAAATAATTTTCAAATGCCAGGCTCTGTCACACCTGCTCCTGTGGTGCCATCACGAAGAGGCCTAGCCCAGGGGACCCTCAACCAACCTCCATAATAGAGGGCCTGGTCCAAGCAAACACGGGCAGAGAATTGTTGTGGAAGGAAATTCTTCCCTTGGGGCCCAAAAGCCTGCCAAGTGGAGGAGACATCCTTCTCTCCTCATGTGTCTCGAGGGCCATTATTCCTTGAAACCAGCCACTGCACTCCACACTGCCTTCCCCAACAACCCAGAAGCCAAGGGGTGCACCTACTCTGTTGACACATGGAGTCTGGGAACTGGAAAAGTCCTTAGAGATTACATAAGCCAGCTTGCTGTGCAAAGATAGGAAACTGAGGCCCAAAGATGGGAAAGGTCACATCAGTGGCAGAGCTGAGGTGGTACCCCGGCCCCCTCCCTCCCTGTACAGGCTTCTGCCATCTGCACCAGGCTGCCTTCCCTGAGAACAGAGAGCCTGGCTAGTTTAAGAGGCAGCTGCATAAAGATCACATACTTGGGTCTCCGAAGCAGAACATCCTTAAATACAATCTCTCGCGGTTCCTGGATCTGGGCTTCAAGCTCTTTCACCTCGGCCTTGAGTATGGGCATTTCCTCCTCAAACTGGTCAATAAACTGAGGGGAGAGGCACCACAGGGGAGAAGTGAGAAGCCAAATGTCCCCCAACCAAAAAGAGAAAAGGAAAAAATGGACAAGGATCAAAGATTCTGGGGAAATGGTGTGGGCTTCGTCACTGGGACATGCTAGACTCCAGAGCGGGGTCTCCCTGTGTGAGGCGGGGCTGGCTTGAAAGGTAGTGACAATATTCAGTGATGCTGAAAAAGGTGAGGGGATCGTGGAGAATGGAGACAGTCTGCAAAGGGGTAGGATTGCTCGATCACAGGAAGTAGCGGGGGCTGGTGGAGATGGGGAAGGGCACCATAATGAAAGGCAAGATAATGAAAACTAATTGGAAAGAGCAGTGATGGTGAAGTTCATTAACATGGATAATGAGTAGCGGTCAATGACAAGAATTAAGGGTGAAGATGGTTAATGGTTAAGTAGATGGTGCTTGATGAAGCTGCCTTTGGGTCATGGCCAGTGCCATTAGTTAATGAGGTAAGGCCCAGGCCAGTGCCAATCCCCTTCCCAGAGGAAGGACAAGTGACAGTAATGGCACTGGCAAGGAGGAAGGCCCACAGTAGCGTCAGAGACCTCCTGAGTACCAGATCAGGATGAGCCTGACTCCCATGGGCCTGGGGACCACCCACCACTGCTCCCCACAGAGGGCCCCTCGCCTTCCCTGCCTACTCACGTCTCTGTACTTGTTCATGACTTCCAGCATGCCCTGGCTAGCCTGGACCCTCTGTAGAAGAGCCTCCTGGTAGGGAGACTGGGTTTTCTGTGGAGGAAGGAGAGGTCTGGGCCCCAGGGGTCTCTGCCTGGGCAGCAGTACATGGTAGAGACCAAGGGCAGGGGGTGCCAGGGGCCTGGCACAGAGGAGAGGGAAGAGGGCAGGGCTGGATGTGGGACCTGGATACCCACCCCAGCAGCTGCCTACTCACCACCACCAGAGACTTCAGAATTTTTATTTTCTTATTCTCCACCTTGTTGGACAAAGATTCCAGGACGTTTTTACGCATCTCACTAAGGTCATCCAGCTCATCCTGGGGACCAGCAGGAGGGTGTTGGTCACCAGCCCTGCCTCCCACACAGTCCGGCAGAGCAGGGCCAGGGCTCCCCTACCTGCTGGCTGTCTTTAAGCTGCTGCAGCTGGCGCACAAGGCTGGCAATCTGGACCGATTTGACGGAGTACTCGTGATCCATGTAATTGCTCAGGAAGGACACTTCCTTGCGGGTCCGCTTGACCTTGGCATTCAGCTTCTCCACCTGCTGCTCCAGGCCTGGGGAGGGATGGGGGAGGTCAGGAGGGGCAGGAGGCAGGATCTTCCTCAAGGACCCCTCCCAGGAGGCCCAGGAGGCCAGGTCTCCTTGGCCAGTGGGCTAGGGTCTGGGCTGAGGTGAGCTCACACAGGGCTAGAAGGTGGCAAAAAGTTAAGCCCCTAGAGAATCTCTGCAGAAGAGGCAACTCTGGCCAGGAAAGAGAAACGAAACTAGTACAAGATCCCTAGACTGGTCCCAGCTCTGCCACTGACCTACAGTGTGGCCCTCAGCAAAACTGTCCCTCTCTGGACTTCAGTCTCCTAGGACACACACTCCCAAGGGAGACCCAGGAGATGGGGCAACGCTGGATCCCCAGGCATGACCCACAGCAGGATGGAGACACAGTCTCTCCTGCCTTCCTCCATGGTGGGGATTGCCAATGTCTCCAGCTGCCTGGCACACTGCCCCTTTACTCAGAAGGCATCTATTCTACTCAAGGGAAAGAAACTGCAGGCCAGGCAAGATGGAAGCCGAAACAGCTGGGTCCTAGCCCAGCCACTGATTCCCAGAGGGACCCTGGCAGGAAACAGAGCCAGGCTAGGATTGGATTCTGGCTCCTAACTGTATAAACTCCAGCAAGCTACTTCACCTCTCTCAGCCTCAGTTTACTCATCTGTAAAATGGAAGGACAGTCCCTGCCTCGGAGGTAGCCATAATGAAAGTGTGCCCACAGCAACGCAGACACATGGGGGCCTAGAAGGCGCTAAGTGAGATATTAGTATCATAGCAATTCCATCTGCCTAAAAGGGAAATGGTGGGCTGGCTGGTTTCTGAGAGGCAGGTGCAAGGTGAATGCTCTGCTGCTGACCTGCCCAAAGTGCCAGGGATTCAGGTCAAGGAGCTGCCCCAGGGATTCTTACACTTCATCTTGCATTGCTCCTTTTCTTCCCACTCCTGAAGCTCAGACTTCAACTGTTGCAGCCTTTTCTTGTTTGAGCACTCCAAGATGTCGATGATGGTCTGTGGGAGTGGTGGGGCCAGCTCACCCCCAGGCTCTCGGGGGCTGCAGCCGGCTGTGTGCACCTGGCACTTCCTCAGAGGAGGCCCCAGGCCCAACCCCACTTCCAGGCCCAGCAGCCTGGCCCGATGCCGAGCACAGTTACCTCATTTGCCAGCCCCTACCAACACCCCGCTCCTCTCCTACCACCCCTGCTCAGCCAGCAGCCCTGCCACACCCCCGGTCGCACAGGCCCAAACCCAGGCTCCAGGCCCTGCTCCCCTCTCTCATCTGAGATGTCACCAAGTTGTATGGATTTTACTCCCAAATGGCTCCCAGAGACATGCGCTTCTCTCCACCCCCACTGCCGCCGCCTTGTTCAAGTTCTCTTCATCCCCACCTGAAATATTAGGATGGCCCCCCTCTGCCCTGTAAATGAGGTCCCAACTCCTTGCCTTGGTTGACCGGCCCTCCTCGACCTGGATGGGGCCAACCACCTCTTTCTCCAGTCCCTGCCTCATATAGTATTGTCCGGCCACACTCAGCAGCATGTGGCCCCTTGAGCCAGCTAAGCTCCATCTCACCACAGGCCTTGGGCACCTGCTTGCTCTCCCTGGAATACTCAGCCAGTCTCTGCCAGTTAACACCTCCTCTGCAGGGTTCAGCCCAAGCATCACCACCTCCAGGGAGCCTTCTGATCCTCCTATACCTGGGTCAGAGGTTCCCTCTGGGTTCCCCAAGTCCCCCGCCTCCAGCACAGCACACACATCCGAGGCTTTCTACCTGCCTATGAAAGCTTGACGTGGATGAAGTGTCTCACTGATCGCCATCTCCCGTAACGACCCCTAGGACACACTCAGGATGAACAAAAAATGTAAACGTGGACCAACAGAGGAAGAGTCAGACAATGACTTCGTCTAGGTATGGAGAATGTTCTGCTAAGTTTCCTTGGGTTGCATAACTCTGTATGTCCTTGGCCTTGGCCCCTCTTGTAGACTAAATTGTGATACCTCCTCCCCATTCATATGTTGAAGACCTAACCCCTAATGTGACTAAATTTGGAGATAGGGCCTTATAGAAAAGTAGTCGAAGTTAAAAGAGGTCATAAGGGTGGGGCCCTAATCCTATAGGACCGGTGTCCTCATAAGAAGAGGAAGGGGCAACAGAGCCCTCTCTCTGTCCATGCACAGGGGAGAGTCCATGTGAGGACACAGCGAGAAGATGGCCAATCTGAAAGCCAGAAAAAGGCCTCGCCAGAAACCAACCCTGCTGGCACCTCAATCTTGGGCTTCTAGCTTCCAGAACTGTGAGAAAATAAATTTCTGTTGTTTAAGCCACCAATCTGTGGGATCTTGTTATGGCAGCCAGAGCAGACTGACACAGTCCCCAGAAGTCTGAATTTTCTCTTCACTCACCAACTCTAGGTGAGCTCAATCCTTCTCCTCCCTGGGCAGACTGCTGTTGGAGGGAACTTACTTCTCCATTAAACCATTTTCTCTGAATCTTCTCCTCCCTAAACTCCCTATGAACTTTCTGCCCTCTCACCGCAGTGTCACCAGTCTCTCCTAGAGGAGGCAGAGGATGTTCCCTGGGTTCTTCACCCTCAGTGCCACCCCCAGGCTGAGGGTGCTAATAATAGCACGGTGGAAAGAGCACAGATCCTGGCATCAGACTGACTGGGTGCAAATCCCAGCTCGGACCCTGGCCACCTAGGTGACCTTGAGCAAGCCACCTAGCCTTTCTATTTCTTCCTATGTAAAATGGGGATAATAATAGTGCCCACCCCATAGGGTCACTGGAAGGTCTGTATGAATAGCGCGGAGTATTACACAGCAGTGTGTGCGAATGGAGCTGCTGGTGGCTGCTACTTTTTCTTGCACAAGTACAATATGCATCCCTTTGGGATGGGTGCTATTGTGTCCCATTTTACAGAACTCAGAAACGGCGTTAACTCAAAGTCTCCCAGCTAGTAAGTGCTGGCGCGTTGGGATGAAACCCCCACCTCTGATTACAAAGCCCAGGTGGGCGGGGCCAAGGGTGGAAAAGATGATCTCCCAGAGGGAGGAAGCGGCACGCGCAACGGGGCCAGGAGAGGGCGCAGGAGCGGGGAAGGAAGGCGAGAGCCGCGGGCACGCCCGCCGCGCAGAGGCCAGGAGCGCGGGTCTCACCGCCAGGATGTCCTGCTGCTGCAGCATCGCCCGCACGCTAAGGGCCGTGCTGTCCTCCATGTCCTGGATGGTCTTGATCAGATCCTGGTTGAACTTGGTGAGGAAGTACTCGTGGCTGCGGAGCTCCTGGAGCGAGATCCTCCTGCTCTTGAGCATCGCCTGCGGGTGGAGCGGGCGGGAGGGAGGCGGCGCTGCCGGGCCAGGTCGAGCCTCCGCGAGCCTGGGGACCGCGGGCCGCCCGCCCCCTGGTGGCCTCCGCCAGTAAACGCGGCCGAGCTGGGCGGCGGGGCCCATTGTGTGCGCGGGGGCCCCATTGTCTGCGCTGTAAGAGCGCCTGGACATCTTTTATTTAATTAATTAATTTTTAATTGACAAATAATAATTGTACCTATTCACAGAATACATAGTGATGTTTTGATACATATAATGTACTGTGATCAGATCATGGTAATTAGCATATCCATCATCCCAAACATTGACATTTCTTTGTGCATGGACTGTTCGATATCCTCCTTCTAGCTATTTGAAACTATATAATAAATTATTGTTAACTACAGTCATCATACAGTAGTATAGAACACTAGAACTTATTCCTCCTATCTAGCTTATGTAACTTTGCATCCTTTAACAAATCTCTCCCTACCTCCCCTTCCCCCCTACCATTTCCAGACTCTTTGGTTACCCTTTAATCCATCCTAAAACACTCATGTTCCCATGACTTCACATCTCTGTGGTGGGGATACATCTTACAATTGGTGGCGTGTCTCCATATAATTAATAAATGTTTTATTAGTGGGTAAATAAAGGTGTGCCTTCATAGCAATGGCTTCTTAGAATCAATGAAATATAGAAATAATAACAATACACTCCCCAGGTAGGTTAGAAGGTGGCAGAGGTGACTGCCACTTCTGGAAGGGAAGCAGGGGAGGCAAAGTGGGTGATCATAGCCACCACTTCCTGTTAGGTGGCTGACCTAATGAGTACTGTCATTTCAGACAACCTGTCCCTGTAGAATCAATGAGGGTCTGAGGGGTTAATGAGACTCAGAGAACTTAATGACTTCCCCAGTGTCACACAGCCAAGAAGTGGTGGCACTGGAATTGAAAAGCCAGACTTCTGAGTCCTCATGTGTATCCTTTTTCCACTACACTAAGACAAGAAACTGAGCAGGCTTAAAACTGCAAGGCGTGGCTTAACCACATACTGATTAGGTCTTGGGTGTTAGGTGTAGACACACACCTTCGTTCAAAATATCCCATCTCTGCCACTATCATCTAAGGGAACCTGGGCAAGTTAATTAACCTCCCAGAACCCTGGTACACTCATTCTAAAGGTGAGGAAATGAACATCTGCTTTAGAGGCTGCCATAAAAAATAAATGAGGGCCAGGCATGGTGGCTCACACCTGTAATCCTAGCACTCTTGGAGGCCGAGGCGGGAGGATGGCTCCACGTCAGGAGTTCAAGACCAGCCTGAGCAAGAGTGAGAACCTGTCTCTACTAAAAATAGAAATAAATTAGCTGGACAACTAAAAATATATAGAAAAAATTAGCCAGGCATCGTGGTGCATGTCTGTAGTCCCAGCTACTAGGGAGGCTGAGGCAGGAGGATCGCTTGAGCCCAGGAATTTGAGGTTGCTGTGAGCTAGGTTGACGCCACAGCACTCTAGCTTGGGCAACAGAGTGAGACTCTGTCAAAAAATAAAATAGGTAAAATTCACGATCAAGCAGTAGTGTCCACATGGCAGCAGTAGCCCAAGGACTCCTGAGAAAACCTAAGTCAGATCACACCCCTGCTCTACTCAAAACCCTCCAGTCTTCCTGTCTTACTCAACACAAAAATGCAAGGCCTAATCAGGAACTACAGGGCCATACACACCTTACCTTACCCCATTCACCTTCCTTCATCATCACTTGCTCCAGCCATACCAACCTCAGGGCCTTTGCACGTGTGGTTGCTCTGCCTGGAGCATTCCTCCCTCAGATGTCCATGTGGATGCTTCCTCACCACCTTCAGGTCGCAGCTCAAGTGTCACCATCTAAGCAGCCTTCCCTGAGCACCTTATCTAAAAATCACTGCCACTCCCTCCTCTGTGCCTCTCTAGTCCCTAATCTTATTCTTAGGGGCTCTTCGTAGCTCTTATCATCACTGCACATATTATATATTCATCTTCTTTACTGTCCATCTCCCCCAGTGGAATGCGAGCTCCCTAGACCACATCACTGGTGAAGTCCCGCACTCAGAATGAGGCCTGACACACAGTAGGTGCTCAATAAATATCTGTTGACCAACTAAATGAATGCATGACTATAAGAGATAGTATTAAGAACTGGTTAGGAGCACAAATTTCAAAGCCAAATTGTCATATTCTATATCAAATAATACATAAACCCTTCTAAAGTCAGGATAAAAATAACATCCAAAATATGAGTTCTTCCTTTATGAATGCTAGGCTACCTCTAAACCATTCTGCAAAACTGAAGGTTAAAGGGAAAAAAAAAAAGATTTCAAAGCAAATTACATATTCCCTTTCTCTTTATATAGTAGTCATTGTTCATTGAGCTATTAAAAACTTTCTTAAAGAATTCTTCTATAGTATTTTATAGTATTTAGTATTTTATTTTCTCCTATGTATACTAAAGACCCCTCTTCTTTTTTTCATTTTTATTTTTGTAGAGACAGGGTCTCACTCTGTTCCCTGGGCTGGAGTAAAGTGGTGCAATGGTAGCTCACTGCAGCTGCAAACTCCCAAGCTCAAGCGATCCTCCTGGCTTGGCTTCCCCAGTAGCTGGGACCACAGGAGCATGCCACTAAGCTCAGCTAATTTCTTTTATTCTTAGTAGAGATGGGGTCTTGCTATGTTGCCCAGGCTGATCTCAAACTCCTGGCCTCAAGCAATCCTTCTGCCTCAGCCTCCCAAAGTGCTAGGACTACAGGCATGAGCCACCATGCCCAGCCAAGACTCCTCTTTTAATTACTTCAAAAACTTTTGAAACATTGTTCAGGTAATTACATAAGCTATAAAACGATGCATGGTGAGAAAATTAATTTACAATTGTATCACTTGATGTGAAAAATTTAATAGGAAGATTCTAAACTTTGCTTTAAGGTATCCTGCATTCCATGAAAGGTTAATTTACTGGAAATTTTAAGATAACCCACTAGATTATGTTCCTAATGCAGAGAAATAAAGGGTGATTGTGACTGTGCTCTTGAGTATTGAACATAACAGCAAATGCTTTGTTTAACTGGCTTTGACCCCTGCTACTGCCAATTTCTGGCTTTGTGAGTTGGTATAAGTCACTTATCTCCCTGTACCTCAGTTTCTCCATCTGTAAAATAGGAATGATTATAAGCATGTCCATGGGGTTCCTATGAGGAGGAAATGAGTAAAGCCTGGCACCCACAATGTGCTCAGTGCATGTTTCCTGTAGCCACCCCCATGCCCCTACCCTGGGCCCAGCGCCTGTGGGCAAATGTGCCTCATACCTTCATTATCCGGATTTTGGCCTGTGTCTTCTTAGGGTCCAGCTTCTCCTTTCTGCGCAGCTGTTCTCGTGGACTCTTCGGCTGGCTTGCCACCAGCATGGTGGGCTTGGAGTGCAATTCTGGGAACAGATAGGAAAGGGGAGGGAGAGAGTGAGGGCATAGGCAGGCCTGGGGCCAGGTCCCAGGGAGTGCACCACCAATGAGAGGGGGCCCCAAACCCACTCACAGCCTTATCATGTGACACTGGACAGAGAAGGAAACTCACACCCATCAATAAGCTCCCGCGACCCACTCTGAGCCTTGATACAAGGGAGGGACAAGCCCAGGTGAAAGCAGTTATTATGAGTATGGACAGAGGGGAGGACAGGGGTAGCAATGGGAGACAGCCATTCACCCTGACTCTCAACTGTCAGTCAGAAAGAGAGTCGGGAGCTCCCACTGTTGTGTCCTGTCAGTAGTTGACACAGCACAGGACAGCAAGACCAGAGTCTGGCAGGCCTGAGTTCAAATCCCTGCTTTCCCATGAACCTGGCTGATAGGAAGGTTAGATGGGGTAGGAATTAATGAGCCAGACAGCCAGGTTTGAATCTGGGCTCTGCTTTCTACTAGTTGTGTGGCCTTAGGCACATGACTTCTCTGTTCCTCTATCTGTAAAATGGGAATAATCACCATGCCTGCCTCATAGGATTGTTGTGAAGATTAAGTAAGAAGTTACCCAGCCTGAGCAAGAGCGAGACCCCATCTCTAATAAAAACAGAAAAATTATCCAGGCATTGTGGGCATGTGCCTGTAGTCCCAGCTACTTGGGAGGCTGAGGCAGCAGGACCGCTTGAGCCCAGGAGTTTGAGGTTGCTGTGAGCTAGGCTGATGCCACAGCACTCGCTCTAGCCTGAGCAACAAAGCCAGACTCTGTCTCAAAAAAAAAAAAAAAAAAGAGAGATGGAATGATTAATAGATTAATCTTGTGATTCTAATTTTAAAGGTATAAGTGAGATTTTGTTTAAAGTTGAAAGGTTTAAGACTCTCTTATAAAATGTGTATGAATTACTGGAACTTCTCATTGAACATAAGATTACTCATATTTAGAAGTTTATTTATTAGATATATAAGAGTTATTTAAATGCTTGATGATTTTTGTTAATCAGACAAGTGAACAAGTTGAATATGAAAATGAATATATTACATTTTAAAATGTGGCTTAGAAGGTTTAGGAGAATTTAATTAACCAAGTTCTAAAACCCCTTACAAGTGTTTATAAAAATTGGAAGATTTATAAGTTGAATTTAAATGTTTGAGGAAGATTTGTAGCTTCCATAACGAGTATTTATTTTCAATAGTGGTAGTAACCCTGATTGGTCTTTTTTTAATTAAACTTTTAATTTTGAGATAGTTCAAATTCACATGCAGTTTTAAGAAATAATCAAGAGAAATCCTATGTACCCTTTACCCAATTTCTCCCAATGGCGACATCTTGCAAAAAGTCCAATATAATATCACAACCAGGATACTGACATTAAGATGGGCAAGATACAGGACATTTCCATAACCCCAAGGATCACACCTGTTGCCTTTTATAACCACAGCACTTCCCTCCACTTACCATCCTCCCCAACTGTCCCTAACCCCTGCATTCACTAATCTGTTTTCCATTTCTATAATTTTGTCCTTCTCAGAATGTTATACAAATGTCAACACTTATGTGCACATATAGTAATAATATTCATCAGGTGTCGGGCAGCTGGGAGGGGGAGGAGGGGATGAGTATATTCACACCTAAGGGATGGGGCACTGTCTGGGAGATGGACATGCTTGAAGCTCTGACTTGGGTGGGGCAAACACAATGTATGTAACCTAAACATCTATACCCTCATAATATGCTGAAATAAATAAAATAAAATAAAATAAAAAGAATGTTATACAAATGTAACTTTTGGGATTGGCTTTCTTCACTGGGCATAATTCTCTGGAGATTCACCCAAACTGTAGAATGTATCAATAGTTCTTTCCTGTTTATTGCTGAAGAGTATTCCATGGTTTGGCTGTAGCAGTTTGTTTAACCATTCACTCCTCTAGGGTAGTGTCAGCAGGGTCCAGCAGTGAGCTGAGCCACCATTCTCACCCAGCACCCATGAGATTTAATGAGGTGGTATGAGGTAGACTTTCCCCCCACTTGCCTACCCCTGTTGGTGGAACCTGGTGGGAACCTGAGCCTCTACCCCTACCCAGCATCAATGAGGCAAAACAAGGTGGCAGGATGTGGGGCTACTTGGCATTCTGCTCTCCCACTCCCTTTTTGGGTGTCAGTGTTGCCCACAGGGAAGCTGATCTTATATTCCCCACTTAGTGGCAAAGAGGTGGTGAGAGTGATTTATGTACATAGCTATATACACAGGTAGGTTATATTGTCTATGAAATTCATTTCAGGATATTGAAGGAATATTACAAAACATTTGTTATTAAAAGGGGTGTTGGGTCTGATGAGGCTGAACAATCATTTACATAGATCCTCTCATTTAATTCTCACAACAATTCTGTGGGGTATGTATTAGTGTCCCCATTTTCACAATGAGAAAACTAAGGCATGGAAAGATGAATGACTTTCCCAAGTGAGTAAATGGCACAGCCAAGATTTGAACCCACATCTGCCTGAGCCAAGGCTTCAGAACTCCTCTGGAATGCATGATAATGATGTGCCAGAAATGGCCCTATGAATTCACCAAACACTGTTTTCTTCTCCTAGAAACACAGAAGTACTACATTTCCCACCTTCCCTTGTGGTTAGGGATGGTCAGGTGACTGAGTAATGACACCTGTAACATAAGTGAGAGTGATACATCACTTCAAGTCTGGGCCCCCCAAGAAACTGTCCACAAAATTGCCCATGTTCTTGCTCTCTCTCTCTTCCCTCTCCACCAGCTGGATGCAGAAGTATCCAGCAGAGGACCTCATGGCCTTACAAAATATCAGAGCCACACGGGAAAAGAAGCCTGGATCCCTGAATGACCATGTGGAACAGATTTCTAGACCTTCCCCCAGGTCTATGAATGCACTCTGAAATTAACTTTGATATCAATATTTGAAATTTGGGGGTTTTTTTGTTACATCCGCTAGCCTGCCCTAATATGAATGGTGTCACCCAGGGCAAAGAGCATCAACTCTATCCTGTCTCCAACCCCCACACCAGCCCCCAGTGCCTCCACCCACCTGGTTGGACCTTAGTCAAAGTCTTCATTTTGCTTTTATTGTGGCTGCCGGCTTGTTGGACTGGAGGAAAAGTAGATGGTTTGGTTTTCTGCTTGGACCACTGCCATGGAACATAATCCTACCAGACATAACACAATCAGTCAGTCACACAGCACAGTGGGTTCAAATCCCAGCTCCACCCTTTACAGATATATGTAACCTCGGGCAAATGATATTACCTCTCTGAGCCTCAGTTTTCCCATCTGTAATGTGGGCCTAATAATAAAACCTACCTCCGTAGGTTGGGGCAGGAATTCCAAAAGATGATATTTGTAAAGCATGTGGTAAGTGCTCCATAAATGTTAGCTATCATTTTTTTTTTAATCAGCCAGCCAGAATTTACTAAAGCACATCCAAGCTGTGAGGTGCTAAGAACTGTGAGAAACAGAAGGCATGGAAAAGACCCAATACCCACCCTCAGGAAACCAGAGTAGCAATCAGAGATGAATAAGAGAGCAACATACTACACTCCTACATTCTGGTAAGGTAGTGAGAGGAGAAAAATGAGGTTCAGGGGCTTGCTCCGAGTCCCACAGCAAATGTGTAACACCACTGGGGCTGGAATGCGGGTCTCCAGACTACATCACCTGGAGCAGTGATGATCGTGAGAGCAGAGGGCAGGCAGACTGACTGCAGGGTCACCAGCGCCCCATCCCCAGCCCTAACCCTCCCAGACTCACCAGAACCTGTAACTTGGGGTCTGTGTAGTAAAACCCAGAGTGGCTGAGTCTAGAAAGAGTTGAGGCGAGAAAGAATTTCCATTATTCGCAGCCTATGGGGCTGCAAGCAGCAAACTCCAAACAGGCGTGGAGCATCGAACTCGAAACCGCAGCGCACCAAGCACACTAGCACAGCGGCAGCCCAGAGGGCGCGGGCGACTGGGGCGGGGCCGGGGTGATGTGGGCGGGGAGAGGGCGGGGAGAGGGTGGGGGCCACGAGGCCGCGGGTCGACCTCGTGGCGAGAGCGGGGCGACGGCGGGGACACGCACGCGCACTCCACCATTCCGCCAACGCTCCTTTTTACCTACCTCTGTGAGACTTGCGCCATTGGGGAGAATGGAAGGAAAGTCGTGAGTCTGTGGGTCCCTGATTTTCCAGAATGCCCAGTTGGCTCCTCCGATATCCTTGTCTCAGCGTAGATCGCGCGGTAGCCCAGGCCACTCAAACTTCCCAAGGAGACTTGATGTTTGCTCTGCGGTCTCGGTCTCCAGGGAAACGCGACGCCGGCTACCGAGCGCCTAGAGGGACTAATCTCGCAAGGCGAAACGTAGCTCGCCCCACTTCTCAAGTGGGTTTCAAATACCCTTCAGCTTGCCCCGCCCATAATTCTAGATAATTATGAGATTTCTCCACCTCATCAAACCTCCATCACTTCCTTCTCCATCCTCACTCGTCGCTAATGTCTTTGCATCCTCTTTCACTAAGAAAATCGTGGGGATCAGTAAGCTCACCAGTTTACACCATTTCCTTTACTCACCTCCTTTATCTCTGTATAAACTGCCTACTAAGACCAATTCCTACACTGCTGCATCGAATCCCATCCCCTTTCATCTTCTCAAAGATATTGGCCCAGCAATTCTCCCCATTTTCTCCTATATCATCATTTTTCCCTCTCCTTTATATCATTGGTATACCAACATATTTTAATTTCTTCTGTTATATTAAAAAAAAAAAGAATGACCACTTCTCCTCCACCCATTTCGGCTTCACTCTGTAGCAAAATTCCTAGAGAGGTTTACCTACTCTCTGTTTCCCTTTCCCTGCCTGCCCCCTTCAATCAAGCTTTCCATCTCCACCCTTCCACTGAAACTGCCCTTGTCAGCGTCACTGGTGACTTCCACTTTGCTATAAACCCCATGGTCACGGTTGGGCGTGGTGGCTCACATCTGTAATCCTAGCACTCTGGGAGGCCGAGGCGGGAGGATTGCTTGAGCTCAGGAGTTCGAGACCAGCCTGAGCAAGAGTGAGACCTCCTATCTACTAAAAATAGAAAGATATTAATTGGCCAACTAAAAATACATAGGAAAAAAAATTAGCCAGGCATGGTGGCACTTGCCTGTAGTCCCAGCTACTCAGGAGGCTGAGGCAAGAGGATCACTTGAGCCCAGGAGTTTGAGGTTGCTGTGAGCTAGGCTTAAAAAATTAAAATTAAAAATAAATAAATAAATGAACCCCATGGTCACTTCTCAGTCCTCCCTTTATTTGTCCTATCTGCATTTGACACAGTGGATCACTGCCTCCCTTAAAACACTTTCTTAACTTTGTGTCCAGGAAACCGCTCTCTTGAATTACTTCCTACCTCCTTCTCTGGTCCCTCTTCTTCTCCCTTTATTATTGGAGTGTCCCAGGGTTCAGTCCCAGCCCTCTTTTTCTGTACCTGTTCTCACTTCATTCATACTCCCCTCCAGTCTCATGGCTTTGGCTGCCATCTGTACCCAGATGCCTCCCCAGACTCACATCTCCAACCCAGACCTTGCCCCTGAATCCCAGCCACATACATGAGACTGCCTATTCAACATCTCTACTTAGGCACCTAATAAACAACTCTAATGTGCAATTTTTCCCCAACTGAAAATGTCAGCTCTCTTCTTGGAGTCATCTTTGACTCATCTCTCATTGCACATCCAAATTCATCACCAGATCCTACCTACAGTACTTTCAAAGTGTACATGGAATTGGACCACTTACCGCTACCATTCTCTCTCTCTCTCATACACACACACACACACACACACACACACACACACGCCCCTCTTTGCACCTAGACTACAGCTCCTACTCTTGTCCTACTCCAATTCTCTCTCTACACACCAGATTTGCTAGATAGAGCATAGATTTAAAAGTGCATTGCAGTTTAAAATATAATTGTAATCCTAGCTCTTTGGGAGGCTGAGGCTGGAGGATGGCTTAAGGCCAGGAGTTCAAGACCAGCCTGAGCAAGAGTGAGACCCTGTCTCTACAAAAAATAGAAAATTAACTGAGTATGGTGGTGCACACCTATAGTCCCAGCTACTCAGGAATCTGAGGTAGGAGGATCACTTGAGCCCAGAGTTTGAGGTTGCAGTGAGCTATGATCTTGCCACTGCGCTCTAGCCTGGGCAACAAAGCAAGACTCTGTTTCAAAATAATATAATCGGGATGGAACAAATAATTTGAAATCACCTAAACTTCAATAGAGGAACATTACTATAGAATACTAGGCCAGAGCTCCCAACCTTTTCTACCTCTTAAAAATCAGGAGTGGCCGGGCTGGTGGCTCATGCCTGTAATCCTAGCACTCTGGGAGGTCAAGGCGGGCGAATCATTTGAGCTCAAGAGCTCAAGACCAGCATGAGCAAGAACAAGACCTCGTCTCTACTAAAAAAAAATAGAAAGAAATTAGCTGGACAACTAGCTAGAAAAAAAATTAGCCAGGCATGGTGGCTCATGCCTGTAGTCCCAGCTACTAGGAAGGCTGAGGCAGGAGGATTGCTTGAGCCCAGGAGTTTGAGGTTGCTGTGAGCTAGGCTGACATCATGGCACTCTAGCCAGGGCAACAAGAGTGAGAGTCTGTCTCCAAAAAAAAAAATCATAGGAGAATATTTGTTATTGCACTGTACTCTCTGGTCAACAGAAGAGGCTGCTATGCTAAAAGTGCAATCAGCCTGAGTACTCTGGCTATCTAGACCCCTCATGGCTGCCCTTAGAGCTGAGGGAATCACTGTCAGTTACCCCCATTTGCAGAGCACACTGTACCACAGGACTACAGCTGGGAAGCTCTGTACCAGGAAACCATCAAAAAGTAGAAGGTAGCAATACATGGCAGACTCAGTGGTTGCCTACCCAACAGCCATTCCTCCTCTTCATCCTGGCTAACAGATCTTGATCTTGTCCATCTGTGCATTTGTCTTAGAGGAGGGGCGCCCCAGCCCCAGCCCTAGCTCCAACCCCAGTCCCATCTCCAGTAGTCATGACTGGTCTGACATGACTGGTCTGAGGTAGGCATGGTGGTCCCATTTCCCTTAGAGGTCATAGAAAAATGATGAAAATGTGGCCAAGGAGACAGGGTGGGAAGTCTGCTCAGAGACTTTTGGGAAAGGTTTTTATCACACTTTTAAAAAAGACATTGTGGAAAAACATTACTTCATCTGCTAGTAGACATTGTCACATCTATGTAGGATTCCTGGAATTGTGGGACTGTGAGGGGATTTGGTCAAAGAGGACATACTGGGAATAGTTGGGGGCGAAGTAGAAGAAACCTGTTCCTTGATAGCATTGTTGAGCCACTAAATTAACCAATTAAATTACGGTAGTCTAGATGCAAGAGGAAAGAGGGCTATGTGTGTGTGAGACAGATAGAATGGTGGTGGTAAGTGGTCCAATTCCAGAAATCACTTGAGATTAAATAACAAATCACATTACTAAGTGAGCCACTTTGAGTTGAGTTTTCTGGAACTGGCAGGCCAGGAACATCTACTGAAGTCTACATGTTGAGCAACAACAGATAGAAGGAACTTGACTCCCTGAGAACCGTGCAGCTCAGAGTTACCTGCCCTGACTGCCTGCCAAATTCTGAGCTGCTTCATCAGAGAGAAATAAACCCCAGCTTGCGTGAGACCTTGTATTTGAGGGTCCCATTGTCACAGCAACTTAGCCTATACCTTGACTAATGGGAAGAGGGGCTTGGCCACCGTCACAAACGTTTCCTTCGCAGACATGCTGACCCAGCATGGGCACCCACTGAGGGCCACCTGCCCCCCATATCTCAGGTGCTCAGTCATTTCAAATTTATAAATGCCTCCTGTTTCAAATTTTAAAAATAAATACACTTAGGCAGGGCACAGTGGCTCACACCTGTAATCCTAGCACTCTGGGAGGCCGAAGCAGGAAATCACTGGAGGTCAGGAGTTTGAGACCAGCCTCAGCAAGAGTGGGACCCGTCTCTACTAAAAATAGAAAAAATTAGGCAGGCATGCGCGTGTAGTCTCAGCTACTCGGGAGGCTGAGGCAGGAGGATCGCTTGAGCCCAGGAGTTTGAGGTTGCTGTGAGCTAGGCTGATGCCACGGCACTCTACTCAGGGCAACAGAATGAGACTCTAAGATAAAATAAAATAAATAAAATATAAATACACTTAAACATTTCTAAAAATGCCATCATTTAATCAAGGCCAAAACACACTGGAGGGGCCATTGACAACCATTTGTTGTAACCAAACTGTGGGAACTGGGATTGAATAAGAGTCCAGCCGCACTTGTACCTGTTTGAGTGGCATTTCTGTGTTCATGAGCACTTGATGGAACCTCCTGCCCCCAGCATATGTAGGCAAGATGAGCTGGCCTTTCCTTCCTGCACATGTGAGGGGATGAGTGTGACAGAGGACCATCCAGGCCTGCTTGGCTCCAGGCTCAGCTAACAGCAGCCTGGCCTCCAATTGCTTTAACATCTTGCTGACTAAGCTGAGCAGGCTGTCATGGGCTTCCATCCATGTGCTGGCTTTGTAGCAAAGGCACACACTATCACAGACCCATGATCCCTACTGTTGTCGCTGGGTAATATGTCATGGTTCCTGCAGAGACTTCTGCTGCACTTGACACAACAGGATTCTGGACTTTCCTTCTTACAATCCACACAGCACTCAAGAGCCACCTATCCCAAGAGTCCCCTCTGAATTCACTCCCAGGTTGCCTTCTTGTTGCACATGGCTGCTGCTCTTCAGTTGCCCCTGTGCCCCGCTCAAATCCTCTTCAGTCCCGATTATGAGCACACTTCCTTGGGTAACTTGGAGGTCACCAAACCAGCCTTGACTTTGCTGCTAAACATGACTTCATGGAGGCTGTGGCAGACAACCTTGTCCTAAATCAAGTTTTTCATCATCTGAATGAACCACAGACCCCGAAACCAGTGCTGTGTGTCATTGGTCTGCATCCAGGTAGTCAGCATCTAGTCTATGGGCTGGGTTGAATAGTGTTCCCAAACAATTCATGTCCTCCTAGAACCTTAATTAGAAATAGAGTTGTTGCAGATGCAATTAGTTAAGATAAGGTCATGCTAGAGTAGGAGTGCACCCCTAATCCAATATGACAGGTGTCCACATAAGAAGAGGAGAAGAGACACAGAGGCAGACACAGTGAGACTGCTATGTGACATCACGGGCTGAGATTGCAGTGATACTTCTACAAACCAAGGTTTTTGTTTTGTTTTGTTTTGTTAGATATGGAGTCTCGCTCTGTCACCCTGGCTAGAGTGCAGTAGCATGATGATGGCTCACTGCAGCCTCAAACTTTTGGTCTCAAGGGATCCTCTTGCCTCAGCCTTCCCAGTCCCTGGGACTACAGGCATGAGTCACTGCACCCAGTTTACAAGCCAAGGATTGCTGGCAACACCAGAAGCTGAGAGAAAGGCATGAAACAGAGTATCCCCTAGAGACTTCAGAGAGAGCAAGGCCCTGCTGACACCTAGATTTCAGACTTAGAACCACTTGAACTGTGAGAGAATACATTGCTATAGTTTTAAACAACTCAGTTCGTGGCACTTAGTTAGAGCAGCCCTAGAAAACTAATACAGTTGCATAATATCATTGGCCTCCACCATGGAGCCCCATCACTGTCCATGAACCATCTTCAGCTGTGTGAGATCCTTGACAATCTGGATGAAAAAATATCATCAATGCTGTCTGTAAGACACTGGGGTCCCCAAACATAGTAAAGATGCCCAACAGGATGTCTCCTGGACATACTTGGAGATCAGAGGACATAGGAAGACAAACTTGGTCAAAAGCCAGAATAAATTGTGCATAGCCTGGCAGGATTTGCTTGCATGGTAACGATTTAGACTTGGCATCCGCAGTTGAGCAACTTGGAAACCATCTGTGCAGACACTAAGCCATAGTTGACAAAGGGCTTCTTTACTGGCAGGGTCTACAGAGAGCCTGATAGAACCTACTGATATCACAGGAGATGCTCTTGTAACTGGGTTCCAACTCCCTCCCCATGCATGTGCCATGTCCAGTGCCAAGGCTGGTCTCAGAAAAAATGTCAAAGAGTTTATCCACATGGACATAATACTAGACTTCTGATGGTGTCCCCTTCATGGATTCTACCAGCTTCTCATTCCCAGACAGTTAGGACAATGCTGATCCAGTTCAGACACTGATAGTCAAGTGCCTCTTTCTTCCTTTGGCCTTGGCCTCCTTATCCTGGGTCAGCTGGCTGTACTTCTCTTTGGTAAAAAGAGTGCAATTTGTGACCTTGCTTTCTAACAGCTGTAGCAAATATCCAAGGCACAACTCACATATATGCCCCCCGCCCTGCATCCCAGCTTTGGCAAAGGCCACTATCTCCTCCCTCTGGGACAAGATTACAATTTCAGAGAATAAGCTTTAGAAGCAGGTTTACAGCCCAGAGAGTATAGACGCCCATGTTAATGGCATACTGCTGGAAATAAATGAGAAGCAGCAAAGCTCATGAAAGAATAATTTCATTGCAAAGAGATAGAACATGGTGGGCCAAACATGAGTTAGGATTCCAATCCTAGTTTATCCTTAAACAAGTTGCTTCACCTCTCTGAACCTCAATTTATTGATCAGTAAACTAGGGAAAATAATAATGCTTACTTCGTTGGTTTGCTTTAAAGATTAATATGCTATTGTAGCTAGACTACCAATGCCCTCCAATACCCATTCTACCCTTCCATAGTATTAATATTTTCTGTAGAGACAGGGTCTTGCTATTGCTCAGACTGGTCTCAAACTCCTGACCTTGAGTGATCCTCCAGCCTCAGCCTCCCAGAGTCGTAGGATTACAGTCATGAGCCACTGCACCCAGCCCTGATCCTTACAGATATTTGATTGTGTGATAGTTCCATGGGGTGAGGGCATAGGGTAAGAGGAATGAAAGATATCATTTAAAATACATAGATTCTGTTTGGTTTTGTAAATATCCTCCTCATGGGAAAATTTTAAGAGGCAAGCGGAAAGAATACGAGAGTGGAATACATGAATCTAAGACTGATGTTTCTGGTAATGGTGAGTTCCAAGTATGATCACAGGAACCTGTGGCTGAGAAGGGGTGGAGGAAAGGTTTCTGAGAATATAAAGCCTGGGAATTGGAAGGTGCAAATGGCAGAAGAGTCAGTAACAGTGGCTTTCCTGAGACCAATACCTGGAGTTGAGGTGAAGGGAAAGATCGTAAGCCGAGAATCCACAAGGACTCCAAATGCTTTTACTCCAAGTAAAACTGGAAGATGTGGGAAACAGGAAAGAATGTAACACTGGCAAAAAGAATAATAATCTTTCCTGGGAAGCTGCTCTGGACCAAACTCTTTGACACAGCTTATCTCCTTGAATATGTGAGAGTAAATATTAATATTCAGTCCTAATAGATTAATATATGTTTGTAGTAGATATTAATATATTACTAGTCCTCTGAGAGCAGATATTAACATCCTTTTGTTATGTATGAGCATATTGAGACTATGACAACTGTGGCCATTGACCCAGTGTGACAAGGCTGAGATTTGAAGCAGCTAGATTCCAACTTTGGTCTCCACAACCTACCTTTTCTTTCACTACAGATGGAAAGGTCACTGGATGACCCCGAAATGCACACAAATATGCCAAAGAAAACAAAGCTGACAGGAGGTGGTGTTAAACCCATCCCCTCAACTATCCAAATGTATCAGTGCCTCCAAACGCTAGTTGAGACAGATGAGAGAGGAACAGAGATGCTGACAAGTGCTGACTGTAGCCAGGGAATCTGCTGTTAACAAGGTTTCCTGGAGAGGCTGATGCATACAGTTCTTGATCCACAATGTCAGAAGTAAAGTGGTTAAAGAAATACAAACTACATACACGTCCCTATAAACTCCGCAAGTGATTTAACTCCTGTCTCCAAACCCTTGCCTCCTTATCTGTAAAGTGGGTATAATTACACCACCAATTATTGCAAGATTCCCACATGGTAAATGTCAGGACCGCCTTGCTGAAATAACAGGAAAATAATGTTTTCTAATAACAGATAAAGATTAATCTTATGAGCTGTTTTCCCTGCTGGCAGGCAACCTGCTGGGACTCTGTTTTCACAAGCATCTGAACGTAGTGAGTTATCTCACTTGATTGTTCACAGTTACAGGTTGATCTTTAGCTGTTAATAGAAAATTATTATTTTTCCGTTATTTCAACAAGGCTGTCCTTACAGTAAAGTCTGCAGTATGCTTAGCAAAGTGCCAGGCACTTAAGAAGCGCATAATATATTATAATCTTCATCATGAGTACGATGGATGGAGGAGTTTTTAAAAATAAAAATAATGCACTATGACTTATTTGGAAATGTACCCAAAAATACGGGCTGGCGAATGGATAAAAGTGTAGTGCAATAAAGTTGTAATGATAAAAGTTAATGGTAAAATGTTCACTGTAAATTCTTTCAACCTTTGTCTGAAAACATTCATAATCCAAAGTTGGGGGGAAATAACGCATGCTGGTATGCTTTGGGGGAAGGGAGAGCTAAGTTTTATTTTGTTTTTTTAATAGAAAAGGTACAAAACAAACAACTAAAATGGGCGAGCTCTCCCTCAACCCTGCCCCGCCTTTGGGCCGCGGGCCGTTAGTAATGCTGCTTGAATGAAATCATCGAGGACCGCTTGCGCAATGCCAAATCCTCGAGAGCGAGGCCGGAGGCTGCCAAGCCCGCGCAGGGAAGGGGACGCCTCCGCGCGCCCCATCCCGCCGCGGGCCGAGGAGGTGGGGCCGCAGCGCGCGCCGGCGGAAGAGAGGCTGGGCCGTTCCCGGGGGCTCAGGGACAGCGCCGGCCAATATGCGCCGCGTGTAAATACCTTGGCGGGGGAGTGGGGGCGCGGGGGAGAGGAGCATCGAATTTCAAAAAAAGACCAAACCCCCGCGGCCCGGGCGGGCGGGCGCGCGCGATGGGCGCCCTTTGGCTGCGGGAGCGAGAGGAGGATGCTGGGAAGGAGGTAAAATGGCCACCGGCGGCGGCGCGGAGGAAGAGAGGAAGCGGGGGCAGCCGCAGCTCCTGCCCCCGGCAAGGCCTCCGGCCCGGGCAGAGGAGGCTCAAGGCGGACGCGAGAAAATGGGCTGGGCCCAGGTGGTGAAGAATCTGGCCGAAAAGAAGGGCGAGTTCCGAGAGCAGCGACCGCCGCGGCGGGAGGAGGAAAGCGGCGGCGGCGTGGGCGGCGGGCTCGGCGCCCCTGCGGGCCTGGCTGTGCCTGACCTCGGCGACTTCCCCCCGGCCGTCCGCGGGGACCCGAAAGCCCGCCGGAGAGACCCGGCTGGCGAGGCGGCGGACCTCCGCAAGAAGAAGGGCGCTGCCGAGACGGGCAGAAGGAAGAAGGCCGAGGCGGCGGCGGCCATGGCGACCCCGTTCCGGCCGAGCGAGGCCGAGGACGCAGCTGAGCGGCCCCTCCAGGACGAGCAGACGGCGGCAGCGGGCCCGGGCAAGGGTCGCTTCCTCGTCCGCATCTGTTTCCAGGGAGACGAGGGCGCTTGCCCGAACCGGGACTTCGTGGTGGGCGCGCTTATCCTGCGCTCCATCGGCATGGACCCCAGCGACATCTACGCTGTCATCCAGATCCCGGGCAGCCGCGAGTTCGACGTGAGCTTCCGCTCGGCGGAGAAGTTGGCCCTGTTCCTGCGCGTCTACGAGGAGAAGCGAGAGCAGGAGGACTGCTGGGAGAACTTTGTGGTCCTGGGGCGGAGCAAGTCCAGCTTGAAGACGCTCTTCATCCTCTTCCGGAACGAAACGGTGGACGTGGAGGACATTGTGACCTGGCTCAAGCGCCACTGCGACGTGCTGGCCGTGCCCGTGAAAGTGACCGACAGGTTTGGGATCTGGACCGGGGAGTACAAGTGCGAGATCGAGCTGCGCCAGGGGGAGGGTGGGGTCAGGCATCTGCCGGGGGCCTTCTTCCTGGGGGCCGAGAGGGGCTACAGCTGGTACAAGGGGCAGCCCAAGACGTGCTTTAAATGTGGTTCCCGGACCCACATGAGCGGCAGCTGCACGCAGGACAGGTGCTTCAGGTGCGGGGAAGAGGGGCACCTGAGCCCTTACTGCCGGAAGGGCATCGTGTGCAACCTCTGTGGCAAGCGAGGACACGCGTTTGCCCAGTGTCCCAAAGCAGTTCACAATTCCGTGGCAGCTCAGCTAACCGGCGTGGCCGGGCACTGAACACCCGCCTGCCTGCCACGGTGAACACACAGCCAGCTTACCCCTCTTAAGTGCCAAAACTTTTTTTTAAACCATTTTTTATCGTTTTTGAAGGAGATCTTTTTTAAACCTACAAAAGACAGCTCTCTATGCCTTCTTAAATCGAGTTACTCCATTTCAGCCTGATGTGAATTGATGACTCTGTCATCAGTAATGATTACCGTGAACTGTAGCGTGCAGATGTGTCGCTCCCCCACCTTTTTTTAAAATTTTATTTTCGTTTTTGTATTGAGTTTTTTTTTTTTTCTTGTACTTTTTACTGCCCCCTTCCCATACCTTGTTTTCTCCCTGGATTTTCATACTTTGGGCTGCCTTGCTCATCTTTATGCCTCGGCACTAGGTACGAGGCCCAACACATGGTAGGCACTCCATCAGTGTTTGTTGAATTGAAAACACTGTTGACTGTGGCTTCTGTCAGTGTCTACCTTTTGCAGCTCTTCCCCTCCCCTTTTAATTTGCTGCTTCTAATATATGTGGTCTGAAAATTTGTGAAACCAGTGTTGTTAGAAGTGTATATAATCTGAATCAATAAGCTCTGAATGGTGGCCAAGGGCCTCTCTTGCGGCATAAAGATGCATGGACTTTGTGACAGCTCTTTGGGTGGCTCAGAAGCCATTTTTCATAGAATCATGGAATCTAGAGTACTCTTGCTGGAAAGGACCTGAGAATTGGTTTAGACCAATCCCTTGGTTTTCCAGCAGGTGAAACAGGCCCAGAAAGGTTAAATGACTGGGTCATAATTCACACCGCTGTCTGGTGCCAGAGCTAGCCTATAGTAGAGTTCCCTGACACCAAGCCCGGTGCTCCGTCCACTACCTCTCACACTTCACAACAAATTTCCTCCACACTTGAGGGCCCAGAATGTCTGATCTCTACAGAATGATGAGCCCAGGAAAATGCTGAGAGATCATCTCGGGAAGGGGCAGAAGTAGGTTTAGCAGGGACTTCTTGGTTCTTGGGAGATAGGAAGGGACCAAGGAACAAACTCCAGAGTGCATTTGTTGCTCTCTGGGGTGCCACATGTGGATTAATGTCTGCCAGCTTCTTTGGAGGCCTTCCCCTTCCCCATTCATTGCCACCAGTAAGAAATGGGGGTGCTCAGGAGTAAAGAAACCTACCAAAGGTTTACATTTGCACCTTACCCTCAATAGCTAGGAATCCTAGAGAAGCAGCTAGCCAAACTCATCTACAACCTCCTGACTCTCGGGAGAAGGATGGTTTTAACCCAGAATTATGAGTGAGCTGTTAACTCTGAGATGTACCTGGGAAACAGGCCAAGCAAGAGGTCATGGGTCAACTAAGTGATAACCAAGTTAAAGTAGAAAAGACAGTACACTGCTTTTCTTTTGGTTTTTGTCTTTCCTTTGCTATATGTTTTTTTGCTATTTCCTTGTGGCTTAGAATGTAAAATTGAGTGTTTTGTTCTGAATAAATATTTATCTTTTGTATTGCTAACACTGGTGCACTATTTCCTTTCAAAGTTGGATGCACAGTTACACTGACTGTAGTTCAATCCCTACTTCCCTATACACCATTTGTTTGCTCTGCAAATTTCCCACCACTGCAGTCAATACTTAGCACCTGCTGTGTTGTGCCAGGCCCTCTGGAGCTGTTACCTAAACTCAACTCATCAGGATCACTTAGCACACTGTTAAAATTCAGCGTTTTAAGCCCTAACCCACCTCCAAGGAATCAGAATCACTGGAGTGAGTGAAATCTTTTTAAGTGGTCATCTCCAAGCTGATGGGCAACCAGGTTTGAGAACAGAGTTCTGAATGGTATAAAACTAGCGAGCCAGACTCTGCCCTCAGGGAGATTACAAACCATGAGAAGGAGGGAGGAGGATGCTTCCTCTTACAGTTATTGTAAGTGCCATGAGTGGGATGCAAAGTATTCTTGGGTTTTTTTAGAAAAATGTTCTCTTACCCTACAAGGAAGGAAGACAGAAAGGGGGTGGGGAGAAGGGAACAGAGGGTCCAGGAAACTTCTCAGATAACTGAGTCACTCCTCCAAGCTAGCCCCTGGAGATTGGGTCTGCAGACAAGATACAGTCAAGGTCTCTGGGTTCAGTGCCCTGTAGACCTCAGACAACCCTCTGAAGGACTTTCCAGCTCAAAATGTTAAGATGACCTGTTCCTAAGAGTTAAAAGTTCCCAACATATTGACACTCTGACTCTGAAGTGAGAATATTTCTAGAGCTGATCTGGAGTTGGGGCCTGGTGAGTTCTTGCCAGTTCAGCCCCTCTCCTTCCTGTCTTCCAAAGCAACCAGACCTCCCCTTTCCCTCCCTCCCATCTCTCTCCCTTCTCTGCCAGCGATTTCCCTCCCTCTCACAGGGCTGGAGGCCAGAGGCCGGGAGAAAGCCTGTATTCACCACACTCCCCACCCCCTTCCTCAAAGCTGGCACTGTGCCAAAGAGCCTCGTTAGAAGGAACCTTCCTTCTTGCTCCTCCCCGCCCCCCCCCACTCTCCGGGAGGGAGCCGAGGAAGAAACTGTTTCCCTGCCCATCCCCCACAGGATCTGCTCCAGGGCCTCCCGCCTGGCGTTCCAGGGACAGCCTTGGGCTAGAGCTCAACAAACTTCCCCCAGCTCCGTTTCCCCATCAGGCAGCCCCCAAGTTGCAATTCTTCACTGTTTATGAGCTCCTGGAAAGTGTGCACAGATCCCCAGACTGAGGCTGGCTGACGAGTACATTCAGCTTCAACCAACACTGAGGGCTGCTAGAGCCAGACCCCCCCCCCAGCAAGGCACTCTGCATACCCCGCCTTGAACAAAACGGTGCACTTGCAGCGGGAGATAACAGAGAAGTAACCTGGTCCTTGGCCCGTTAGGGACTGGGCGGCAGAGCTCCACCCTGCTTCCTGTCCCGCGCCCCCCCCAAATTATCTTCCTTGAAACTTAGAAAGGGAGGTGTTAGCAGGAGGTGAGCAGCCCTTCGTTTGTTTATGCATCCACTCCCCTTCAGCCGCCCCCCCCCAGAAAGGTTCCAGACCACTGATAAAGCATTTTAAAATATTTGGTTTCAAAAAAACCCCAACCAGTATAAAATTCTGTGAGGTAAAGGTTTCCCTAGAAGAGATGATGTCTTGACTAAAACCTGCAAGATGAGTAAGAACCAGGCAAAGAGGGAAGAGATACCCAAGCAGCAGAAACAGCCTGTGCGCAGACCTGCAGGCCGGAGAACACGCAGCCTGTTGAGGCTGGCAGAGTCACAGGAAGATGTGGTTGGGGAACAGTCCAAGAAGAGGTGACACAGCTTGTAAGCCATATTTAAGAAGGTTGGGGCCAGGTGTGGTGGCTCATGCCTGTAATCCTAGCACTCTGGGAGGCTGAGGCAGGAGGATCGCTGGAGGTCAGGAGTTTGAAACCAGAAACCAGCCTGAGCAAGACCGAGACCTTGTCTCTACTAAAAATAGAAATTAATTGGACAACTAAAAATATATAGAAAAAATAGCCAACCATGGTGGCACATGTCTGTAATCCCAGCTACTCAGGAGGCAGAAGGATTGCTTGAGCCCAGGAGTTTGAGGTTGCTGTGAGCTAGGCTGACTCCATGGCACTCTAGCCAGGGTAACAAAGTGAGAGAAGGTTGGGGCCAGACGCAGTGGCTCATACCTGTGATCCTAGATCAGGAGTTCGAGACCAGCCTGAGCAAGAGAGCTAGGCCCCGTCTCTATTGAAAATAGAAAGAAATTAGCCAGACAACTAAAAATATATAGAAAAAAATTAGCTGGGCATGGTGGCACATGCCTGTAGTTCCAGCTACCCAGGAGAAGAATTGCTTGAACCCAGGAGTTTTAGATTGCTGTGAGCTAGGCTGACGCCATGGCACTCCAGCCTGTGGGGTGGGGGGGCCAGCCTGGGGGGCAACAGAGTGAGACTCTTTCTCAACAACAACAACAAAAAAGAAGGTTGATTTTTTTGTCCTCGGAGCCTCATCTGGCATTCTCCATGCCATTCGTTCTTTCAACACATGTATGTTAAGCACCAACTCTATGTGGGCCCTTTTTAAGCAATGGAATACAGCAGTGAGCAGGATAATCAAGTCCCTGGGGCTCAAATTCTAGAGTCACACAAATATATAATTACAGGTTGTGAAAGGAATACACAAAGTGAAATCCCTGTTTAACAAGGAAAGCTGATTCATTCCTAAGGGTCAGGGATAACTTCCCAGAGAAAATGCCTGAACTGAAATAGAAAGGATATATAAGGAGTTGAGAGATGGGAGTGGGGGTTAAGGAAGGGGGAAAGGGCATTAACCTAGGCAAAAGGGACAGCAAGTTAAAACAGCCCTATGGTGGGAAGAGAAATGACCAAGTCTAGAAACAACGAAGTCCAGTGTATCTGTCTGGGTTTGGAAACAGAAACCACCATAGCTACTGAAGAAAGCCATGGGCCCTAGGCTGGGTATTAGGAATGACTCCTAGAACACCACAGGTACCAGGGGAGCTGCTACCTCTCTCAGTCAGGACAGAAGCCAGAAAGACACACTGCTGAAGCTGCCAACCAAGGACAGCATGCTGGGATCCAAAAGCCACTGCCAATGCCATGCCAGGGCAGTGCTCAGTCCTTTCCCTGCCTCCACAAAGCCAGAGATCTCTGTGCACCTCTCCACAGCCATATTTACAAGTAAAACAGCCCAAACTGTCTGGCTTATTTCTGCCTGCCTTCCACCTTCCAAATATCATGCAAATGCATCTAATCACAGGAGCCCTCGCTAGCTGCAAGAGAATGGGAAGTGTTTTAGATTTCCAGCATTTGTAGCAGAGGAAGGCACATAGAGTGGGCACGGTTGCTGTCTGCCAATGGACCATATCCAGCCCATCCAGTGAGACTATGATGCAGGGAGGGAGAGGGAGATGATGGTATAAGATGAGGCTGGAGATCTCAGGAACATCTGGTAGGCTGTGTTAAGAATGTGGGTTTGAGAATGGTGAGGAGCCATTGGAGGATTTTTAAGCAAGAGTAGCATGATTAGGGTTGTGTAAATATCATTTGGGATACTTTGTGGGTGAGAGAAGAGCCCTAGTGGAAAAGGAGTACCATTTGCTCAGGTGAGAGATGACAATTCCTTGGACCTGGAAGGTGGAAATGGACAGAGGGAAATAGCAGTTTAAAGAGATATTTATGAGTTTTAAGTCAACAAGATTTGGAGCTGTATTTGACATGGGCTGGGAGAAGATTAAGTACCAAGGCTGATGCCCAGGTTTCCAGCTTCTGCAATTGGATAGATGGTGGGGCCTTTCCCTGAGATGTGGAACAAAGGAGAAAATCCAAGTCTGGGGTGAAGGTCTTGAATTTGATTTTAGATGTGTTCAGTTTAAGGTCTCCATAAAGGATGTCTAAGAACAGGTGTGGTGCAGGTGGTTCCGTATACACAGATCTTAAATTCCCGGGACAGTTTTAGGTTTAAGGAATCGTATAGCAGTGGCTTTCAAACTATTTCACTACATTCCACAGTAAGAGAGACATTTTACATTGTGGCCACCATACATATGCATGTGTGTATTTATATCTAAATCTGAAATAAGTTTCCCCAAACAATATTTGCCTGCATCTGATGCGCCTTAGCACTTTCTATTATATTGCTTCATCCTTTTATAAATGCTTACATGACCTGTTAAATTGATTTCACAGTCTCCTAACAGGTCATGAGAGAATGCAGAGGGAAAGAAGATTACACCAACTCAGATTGTACCTTGAGTGACTCTTTGACATGTGAGAGTTTTCACTGATGGAAGGAAATACAGGTCAGCCAGAAAGGGAGAAGGAAAACAAGAGCAGGCAGAGACATAAACCAAGGCAAGTGGAAGGGGTTAACAACTGTATTGAACGTTGTAAGAGGTCATAAGATCAGGAATGAAGAGTACGTGTTGTATGGGCTAATGCAGAGGTTAGAGGAGGGTGATGGGGGAGCAGGAGACAAACTAAGGAGCAAATGATCTTCCTAAACTGTCACCCTGGCACTCTGATCATTTTATATAGGAGTATGATCATCATACATAGGAGTATGATTATACTCCTATGTATGATCATACATACTCCTATGTATGTCACATCCTCTGGAACTCCCTCTTGCCCTCAGAACTCAGCCTGGCACCCAATTCCTTTCACAAGAGGCTCCTGGACTCCTTTCCAACCTCATTCTCAACCAAAGGTACATCCTGTTTTGTCAACTCCAGGCAGGGCTGACAAAGAGCAGGAAGGAGTGTAGTGTGGCTAGAGAGTGGAGTAGGACAAGACCAAGCTAACAGTGAGCAGGGGTTAGATGGACCAAGTTGAGGGTGCAGTTCCGTGAGAGTGCACCAAACATATGCAAAGCCACTGATCCATACAGCACCACTTGCTGGCTTGTCAATGACTAAGAAGATTTGGAGGATGACACTGTACATGAAAATAAGCACAGATTTGTTATGGAGGAGAATGCAAGCTTTGCAGGGGTTTTTAATAAAACATGGACTAACATCTTTGGAAACTAAGACTTAAACTCTGGCACTGTCTTCACAAAATTTAAAATTCACATAATCTTTAACATGGCAATATCCTTTATAGAAACTAAATCTATAGATAAACTTGGACATGTAACAAAGATGTATATACCAGGATGCTAACTGCAGCATTACTTGGGGCACGAAAGACTGCAAATAACATTGCCTGTCAACAGGGAACCAGTCTCACATGCTATGGCACATCCAAACAGTGGAACACAATGCTGTGGTTATAAAGAACAATTTTATTAATATGGAACAATCTCTAAGACATATTATAAATTTAATGTAATCCCAGCTACTCAGGAGGCTGAGGCGAGAGGATCAATTGAGCCCAGGAGTTTGAGGGTATGATCAGGCCATTGCATTCCAAACTGGGTGACAGAGTGAGACCTCATCTCTAAAAAAATTAAATTAAAAAAAAAAACATGGTATGTATAGTTTATATTTTTAAATGATGTTATAAACCTACATATATGCTTATTTATGTATAGAATAACCGAAAGAATATTAATGAAATCGGTAACTGTTGTAACTTCTGAGAATTGGATATTTGGGGTTTGGCATAAAAGGGAAATTTATTTTCCACTGTATATCCCTATTTTTTAAAAAGCTATTTCATGTATTATTGCCAACAACAACAAAAATCTTTTAACAACAAAAATAAATGCAAAACACAAGACTTCAAAGAAATTCCTGTAGACTGCAGAGACAGCACCCTATCCTCTATCTTTAAAAATAAAAACTTTGATGGGAAAGTTTAACTCTGCAGTAGCCAACTCACTGTTCTCCTTGCTTCCAAGCTTGGTTTTATTCAATCCATAGGAATCAACCCTCAAAAGAAATCTGATCACATAACTTTCCTGCTTAAAGACCTTCAAAGATTTTATACCCTCCCTGAGGCCCACCAGGCCCTATCTGACCTGTCCTGCCTCCTCTGGGCCTCCTCACTTGCCAGGCCTCACCCTGACTTGACTTCCTGGTCTTCTCTAGCTGATTGGAATTAGACCTCTCCCTCCCCACCCATGGTTAACACTTACCTACCAGGGTGATCAGCTCTAATGCCGCTTCCTAACTGCAGCCTTCCCTAACATCCTAGACCAGGCCCTTACACTCCCCTAGCTCCCTGGCCCCTCCCAGCAGTTACTGCAGGTATAATGATATGTGACCTGGTTTGATTGACATCTGCCTCTGCCTCTTGACTTTGAGCTCCCTGAGCACAGAACCCATGTATCTTTTATCTTTTGCTCATGGGTGTAGCTTCAGCAATTAGGACTGTGCCTGGCTTTTAGGCCAACAAATATTTATTGAATGAATGATCTGGAAATTATTTGGCAGAGGTTACAGATGAGGACATGTGTCTACTTGTCCTTCTTTAGTGATGCTCAACATATCCCTTAGCATACTTATCATGGACTCTGCATACTGAAGAAGGGCTTATTCATTTATCTTTAAAAAACGAGGGAGAGGAGAGGAGAGGAAAAAAAAATAAAAATAAAAAAAAAAAACGAATTCCATCCCTCAGTCTTTCCACCTTTGGTAAGGGTTTCCCTTCAGCCTGGGAGGTCAGGCCCTGGGTTTACCAGTCCATCCTCCTCTATCTCTCTGAGGACTTGAAATCACTGAGACTCAGCTAGTGTGTCTCATGGCACTGGGAGGCACAGGGGAGCAGCACTGGGCTCCTGGACTCCAAATGTCTGCGTTTGAAGCCTCACTTCCACACTCCTTTAGCCCTGGCAAGAGTAGCCCCTGCCCTGGGTCCCCCATTCTCCTCATGGAGTGAGGATTTCACAGACACAAGAACTGCCCGCCCAGAGTCTGTGCCTACCTCTTCTAGAACATGCTCCAAGACCCCATAACTCCCTTCCAAACTGTCACTAAGCTCATTTACAGGGCCTTCACGAGCATCATTCCTGGGTTCATCTCACGTGAGAGCAAACTACACTGCCTGATGCACACTTTGTACACCTGAGCCTGGCGGCAAGGTGGCTGTTTGCAGGGGACAGCCTGGACATGGAGGCTGGAGTGTTCACTCATGTGTGCTAGCTCCACTGACGAGATGAGAGGTACCTGGATGAGGGCTGGAGCCGAGATCCAGAGGATACCTCTCCTTGGGCCAACACATTCTGGCACAGAACTCCAAGGGTCTGAACTTGAACCTAGCCTTCTAGGTTGTTGTGAAAGTATAGCTGTCAAGAATAGAACATATTTTATTTAACACTAGTGAGACTGTTGTATAACTTCTAACTATGTAGAGACATATGGTATATGGCCTCCGATTACACTATTATCCTGAGCCCCACAAATCCCCGTTTGGTTCTGTCAGATCTTTGCAGATAAGCTGCATAACCTCCCTGAGCCTCAGTTTCCTCAGCAGGAAAATGGGTGTGATGGCAATTCTCTCATCAGGGCTGGAAAGAAAATGAAATAAAACAATCCATGTCAAGTGCTTGATAGAATGCCAGGCCCTCAGTATACAGTAGCTCTCATTGTTGTTTTATCCTTTATTTTATACCCTCTGGCTATCATCTCCCATGATTTTCTACATGACATGTACACTGGTCTCTTTTGTATTGTTTCCACACTGCTGGTCCCTCCTCACTCCTTACCCGCACCTCCAACCTCCCCATTCTCTTCCCCTAGTCAAATCTTACCCCTTCTTCAATTGTGACAATATCTACTGTTATTTGCACATTTACTATGTTTCAGGCATTGTATTAAGAACTTTACGTGCATTATCTCAACTCAGTTCTGACACCAACTCAATGAAGTGGGTACTGTTTATTATTCCCCCAAATACAAAGACTCTGGGATCTGGAGAGTTGAAGCACTGGCAGCTGGTAAGTGGCAGAGCCAGCGGGGTATGATGCCAGGGCGGAGTCCTTCTGGGAGACTATCAGGTCTCCCCAAAACCGGGATAGAATCAAGTAGCCCTTGGCTGACCGCCCCCGCCCAAGGCTTTTCAGTGCAGCGGCGACCCCTCCTCCTCAAAGCCCCGTATCCAAGTCTGTCACACCCCATTAGCTGTAGGGGTCTGTGGACTCTCAGCCCAAGAGGGCGGGCACTTCGTCCCAGGCCACGTCGCCCACATCATCAATTCTCCCTCCCTCTCTCCTCTTCTTTCCTTCCTTCCTTAAAGTATTGGGCGCCTACTCTGTGCCAGGCTTTGGTGTTCAAATGTTACCAGCGGAGAGGTCAGAGAATGGGATTATAGTACATTTTTTTTCTTTCTTCTTTATGCCCTCCTGTTTGGCTGATGTTTTTCAAGCGAGCACGCAGGCCCAACTCCTCCATCACACTTCCAGTGTGGCATTGCTAGGTTGGTTTGCTCCAAGGAAGGCCCTGTCCCCTTAACTCCCAGCCCCCACGCCTCCTCAACCGGCCCTCAAATCCAGGCCGCCCTGCCCCCTCCGGAAAGGAGAGTGGGGGGCGAGCGCCGAAATCTGAGTGGCTCTTTCAAGCCTCCGTTGCCGTAGAAACCAGCCCGCGCAGGCCTTGGCGATCCATGACACCATCCTCAACAACGCAGCCAATGGTCTCCGGGCTCCATCGCAGGCGACCCGCCCCCAGCTGCCGTGCAGCCCACCAATCGGCAGGCCCCTTGGGTTAGAGCCCTGCCCTCGGCCGAGGGACACTACCAATGGGCTTCGATCCTGCCCTCCCTGTCTTCAATGTAACTAGGCTTGACTTTTTTTTTTAAAGGACTTCTCCAAATTATTAATAGAAGGAACCAGCTTCTGACAGTAATGCCTCTGTCAGTTGCAGCCCAAATAATCCTTGGCTGATATTTTATTTAAAGAAAGCAAAACTGTTTCAATTACACAATATATACCATTCTCTACTAAAAATTTTAGACAATGAAAATTTAGGCAATGGGGTTGATACCATCTGCTTTATGAGAATTTCATTACAAGTATTTTCATTTAAAATGACCAAGGAGGCCGGGCGCTGTGGCTCACGCCTGTAATCCTAGCTCTTGGGAGGCCGAGGCGGGCGGATTGCTTAAGGTCAGGAGTTCGAAACCAGCCTGAGCAAGAGCAAGACCCCGTCTCTACTATAAATAGAAAGAAATTAATTGGCCAACTGATATATATATAAAAAATTAGCCGGGCATGGTGGCGCATGCCTGTAGTCCCAGCTACCCGGGAGGCTGAGGCAGAAGGATCACTCGAGCCCAGGAGTTTGAGGTTGCTGTGAGCTAGGCTGACGCCACGGTACTCACTCTAGCCTGGGCAACAAAGCGAGACTCTGTCTCAAAAAAAAAAATAAATAAAAAAATAAAATAAAATAAAATGACCAAGGAACTAGTCCTCTTTCCTTGTTTGTATTTCAAATACATACAAATTAAAGACCCTACGTTTTTTGATGCTGCATGCATGACCTAATTAATTGGGAGCTAACTTTTATTGAACAATCTAATTCCTGGATTCAGAATATATTAAAACTATAGGATAATTGAACATTTATGTCTCTTAATTCATGGGAGAAATTCCACATTTGAGGCAGACTGCATAATGGCTTTGACACTCTGAAGTCTAAATAAACCAAATGTTTTTAAAACCTTCTGCCATTTAAGAAAAAACAAACTTCATTTTTTATAAGTTTTAGATTTACAAAAAAATTGTGAATACAAAGTTCCCATATACCCCACCCACCCTGTTTCCCCAATTATTTAATATTTATATTATTATTATTATTTTAGAGACAGTATCTCACTCTATCACTCAGGCTGGAGTATAGTGGCACAATCATAGCTCACTGCAAACTCAAACTCCTGGGCTCCAGCGATCCTCTTGCCTGAGCCTCCCAAAGTAGTAGGATTACAGGCATAAGCCACCGCACAAGCCTGTTTTCCCTATTAATGTCTGTTACAAATGCATGGTATATTTGTTATAATTAATAAAGCAAAAATGATACTTATCAATTAAAGTTCATAGTTGATTCTGATTTCCTTAGTTTTTACCTAGTGTCCTTGTTCTATTCCAAGATCCATCCAGCATGCCTCATTGCATTTTGTTGTCACATTCCTCTTGCTGTGGCAGTTTCTCAGACATCGGCATGACTTATCACTGTTGATGCTGACCTTGATCACCTGGCAGAGGGTGTGTTTGTCAGGTTTCTCCACTGTAAAGTTATTCATCCTTTACCCCTTTCCATATTGTACTTGTTCGAAGTCACTATGCTTAGCCCACACTTAACAAGTGGGGAGTTATGCTCCTTCTCCTTAAGTGTGGAGTAGCTACATAAATTATTTGGAATTTTTCTGCACTGAAGATTTGTCTCTTTCCCTCTATTTGTTTATTCACTAATTTATTTATATCAGTATGAACTCATAGGTAATTATTTCACACTTAGTTATAGTCCAATACTATTTAATATATTTTTTATTCAAATTAGTCAAGCTCTTTCAGTTGGCTCTCGTGTTTCTTTGAAATACTCCATCTTTGTGAGTTTTTTTCTTGTGGCTGCCTTACTTTCTGGCACTATGAGATGCCTCAAGCACACCTTGTATATTTTCTGCCCCAGTCCTAAAATCAGCCATTTCTCCAGAGCTCTGATTCCATGTTTTAGAGAAAGGTATTAGTAAACCAAGACCTAGAAGCTATGTGTACTCATTGCTACTGGTGTGTAATTTCTTTTAAGCCTTCTCAAGTGACAGAACAAAGAAATATAGCTACATACTAACCTGTGTATATGCATATATCTATAAATATTTCCATATGTAACCATCTGTATTTATGTTAAGCCAAACATGAATTCACATTTATACTTACAACTGTAATCCATCACCACATGCACCATTCTAGCCTCCTCTCCTTTGCTTATCTGTAAATTCCAACAGTGGGAAACCTGTTCCCATCAACCACCAACCATTCATTAATACTTAATTGCCCAATTCCAGTATGTATGCGCAGTGGTATCAAAATTATTAACCTATACCCCTGTGGGAAACTTTATCGAGTCCAGTCTTCTGTATATTTTCTTTGGCTTTTAGACCCAGGCTCATTTCTAAAGTTACTTAAGCCGGCACCTTTTCCTCCACTCCCTTCATGAATCTGTTTCATACATTTGTAATACGGTTAAGACTGTTTTGTCACATTCTACACTCCATCTTGGGATTCTCCAGATGTCCTAAATGATCTTTTAAAAAATCTGCTTCAATCCCAGCATTCTATGTGAACACTTTTGTATTTAAAATTTTAAAACAGCAAAACAAAGAATAAACTATAAAGTGTAGTAACTGTAAATTTTATAATTTAGTAAAATTATATTATTACATTATTAGTTTAGTCAAATTATGTTTTATCAAATTTGAATCTTTTACCAATGTTTAATATTGAAATTGGCTCTTATTTTCAACTATAATGTAATTATATTATACAATTACATTATGTGATTAGATTATGTAATTAATAATTATTATTATTGCAATAGACCACCATGTGTTTTATATTTTCATTTTTTTCAAAGAAATATATTCATTGAAAAGTATTGATCCAATACTCTTTTCCCTTGTTCATACTGTAAATATTATTTACTTTTCCTAACATGATTACAAATACAAAGTTCAATAAAAGAACATTTTCACGGCCTGCATTTCTTTTTTGGCCATTATCATTAGCATTATTTGTTGTACTTCATGACTGTTACTGAAAATAATGTCATTTAGAGGAGGTAGCTGTTAAAATATCTGCTCTGGGGCCGGGCGCTGTGGCTCACGCCTGTAATCCTAGCTCTTGGGAGGCCGAGGCGGGCGGATTGCTCAAGGTCAGGAGTTCAAAACCAGCCTGAGCGAGACCCCGTCTCTACTATAAATAGAAAGAAATTAATTGGCCAACTGATATATATATAAAAAAATTAGCCGGGCATGGTGGCGCATGCCTGTAGTCCCAGCTACCCGGGAGGCTGAGGCAGAAGGATCACTCGAGCCCAGGAGTTTGAGGTTGCTGTGAGCTAGGCTGACGCCACGGCACTCACTCTAGCCCGGGCAACAAAGTGAGACTCTGTCTAAAAAAAAAAAAAAAAAAAAAAAAAAAAAAATCTGCTCTGGGTGTCAAATGAGCACAGTGCCCTGAAGAAATTAACATGGCATTAGGTAAGTGTTAAGGAGGGGGACAGAGGTGGGAGTGCTGGAAAGAGCAAGGAATGGGCTGCAGCAACATGTGTGGGGAGGTGGCATGGCTCATTCTACAAACTGAAAAGAGGCTGGTGTGGCTGGAAACTAGAAAAAGACCAAGAAAGTGAGAGAAGAGGTCTGAGGGTTGGGCAGGGGCACACCAAGCTAGGCCTTGGGGGCTAGGTGAAGTTTGGTGTTTATCTTGAGAGTAACGGGGAAACTACTGAAGGGTTTTAAGAAGAGAAGAGACACAGATTTGTAACTCAAAAATATCATCGCTGTGGATTCGGGGAAGATACTGGAAGGGAAGGAGGCTTGATGGGTGCAGGGGAACCCATCAAAAGGCTAGGCAGGAGCCCAGATCAGAGAGGATGGTGGCATGGACCGGTGGGGTGCTCAGCATCTGTCCCCAAGAACCTGCCCCTCTGAGCTGTCTGGTTTGGACAGCTCAGTGGTGAGCCCAGCCTTGGACTCCTGTGTCCTACAATGTTTGGATTCTGGGCACCAATTTGAAAGGACTCTGGGTAGTCTGTATGCACTGGTAACAACCACTTGTTGGTGGCAAATTGGAGTTTTGGGTTTTGTTTTTCAAAATTTTACTTCCTTTTCTAGGCTTCTGTAGGATAGATGGTGAGCATGCTCTTGATCTATCATGTGACTTTGATTCATTCAATCTATCAGTGACTTTGATTCATTCAATAAATAGTTATTGAGCACCCACTATACACTACGTACTGTCCTGGGGTTAGACCAATAAAGGAAAGAGGCAAAAATCTCTGCCCTCTTTAGAGCTGACATTTTAGTGGAGACCGGACAGGCAGAAAACAATTGAACAAATAAAATAATTTCAGAATGTGGTAGGTGCTGTGAAGAAAATAGTGTGATGAGAGAGTTGTCTCATCAAAAATGAAGACATCTCACCATATCAAATGTTGGACAGATGTGGACGAACAGGATATCTTCCACACTGCTGGTGGGAAAGTACATTGGTACAACGACTTAAAGTTTGTCATTATTTTGTAACAGTTAACATTCACGTGTCCTCAGATGAAGCTATCCCACCCTCAACGATCTACTCAGGAGACCTTCCTGAACATGAGCACCAGGGACACATTTAGGACTGTTAATAGCAGCACTGTTTAAAAAAGCAAAACCTGGCAATAATCCAAATGTCCACAAACAGATAGGAAACCTCTGGTATATTCCTACAGTGGACATGAAAAACTCTACACAGGTGCAATAATTTGGATGAATCTTAGCGCTGTAACATTAAGTGCGTACTAGACTATTATTAATACATACAGCATTATAACATTTTGATAAAGCTAAAGGCGACACAACATATTTTTAAGAAAACATTTATTTATTTATTTGAGACAGAGTCTCACTCTGTTGCCCAGGCTAGAGTGAATGCCATGGCGTCAGCTTAGCTGACAGCAACCTCCAACTCCTGGGCTCAAGCCATCCTTCTGCCTCAGCCTCCTGGGTAGCTTTGACTACAGGAATGTGCCACCATGCCCGGCTGATTTTTTCTATATATTTTTAGTTGGCCAATTAATTTCTTTCTATTTTTAGTAGAGACAGGGTCTCGCTCTTGCTCAGGCTGGTTTCAAACTCCTGACCTTGAGAGATCCTCCTGCCTTGGCCTCCCAGAGTGCTAGGATTACAGGCATGAGCCACCATGCACGGCCAAGAAAACACTTTTTTTTTTTAAAGTAAGGGAAAGGAGAAATCAGAACCTTCATACACTGCCGGCTAGAATGTAAAACAGTGTAGCCACTTTGGAAAACAGTGTGGTAGTTCCTCAAAAGTTTAAATATAGAATTACCAAATGACTTTACTATGACCTAGCAGTTACACTCGGGTATATCAAGAGAAATGAAAACGTGTGTCTCTTTCTGTTAAAACTTGTGCATGAACATTGATAGCAGCATTATTCATAATAGCCCTAAGGTGGGCCGGGCGCTGTGGCTCATGCCTGTAATCCTAGCTCTTGGGAGGCCGAGGCGGGCGGATTGCTCAAGGTCAGGAGTTCAAAACCAGCCTGAGCGAGACCCGTCTCTACTATAAATAGAAAGAAATTAATTGGCAACTGATATATATATAAAAAAAATTAGCCGGGCATGGTGGCGCATGCCTGTAGTCCAGCTACTCGGGAGGCTGAGGCAGAAGGATCACTCGAGCCCAGGAGTTTGAGTTGCTGTGAGCTAGGCTGACGCCATGGCACTCACTCTAGCCTGGGCAACAAAGCGAGACTCTGTCTCAAAAAAAAAAAAAAAAAAAATAGCCCTAAGGTGGAAAACACCTAAATGTTCACCAACTGATTAGTGGATATAGAAAATGTGGTATATACATACAACGGAATATTACTTGAGAATAAAAAGGAATGAAGTTCTGATACATGCAACATTGATGAATGTAGAAATCATGATGCTAAGTGATGGAAGCCAATTAAAAAGGCCACATATTACATGGTTCCATTTACATGAACTGTCCAGCATAGGCAGATCCACGGAGAAAGAGGCAGATTAGAGGTTGCCTGCAGCTGGGGAGGGGAGGACAAGCAGACGGGAGACGGTTGCTAATGAGTACTAATGCTAATAGTTGCTTTTGGGGACAATGAAAATTTATTGTAAAATCAATTGTAGTGATAGCTGCACAACTGTGAATATACTAAAAGCCATGGAACTGTATACTATAGTTGAGTGAATAGTATGGTAGGTGAATTATATCTCAATAAAGCTGTTATTTTTGTTTTGTTTAGAGACAGCATCTTGTTCTGTTGCCCAGGCTAGAATGCAGTGGTATGATCATAACTCACTGTAATCTCAAACTCCTGAGCTCAAGCGATCCTTCCACCTCGGCGTCCTAAGTACCTGGGACTACAGGCACATGCCGCCACACTTGGCTAATTTGTAAATTTTTTATAAAGATTAGGTCTTGAAGGCCGGGCGTGGTGGCTCACGCCTGTAATCCTACCACTCTGGGAGGCCGAGGCAGGAGGATTGCTCGAGGTCAGGAGTTCGAAACCAGCCTGACAAGAGCAGACCCCTCTCTACTATAAATAGAAAGAAATTAATTGGCCAACTAATATATATAGAAAAAATTAGCCGGCATGGTGGCCATGCCTGTAGTCCTAGCTACTCAGGAGGCTGAGGCAGGAGGATTGCTTGAGCCCAGGAGTTTGAGGTTGCTGTGAGCTAGGCTGAGGCCACTGCACTCACTCTAGCCTAGGCAACAAAGTGAGACTCTGTCTCAAAAAAAAAAAAAAAAAAAAAAAGATTAGGTCTTGCAATGTTGCCCAGGCTGGTCTCAAACTCCTGGCCTCAAGCAATCCTCCTGCCTCGGCCTCCCAAAGTGCTAGTATTATATGAGTGAGCCACTACCCACCCAGACTTCTTTTTTTCTTTTTCTTGTTTTTGAGACAAGGTCTCTGTTACTCATGCTGGAATGCACTGGTTTGATCATAGCTCACTGTAGCCTAGAACACCTGGGCTCCAGTGATCCTCCTGCCTCAGCCTCCTAAGTAGGTAGGACTACAGGTACAAGCCACTAAACCTAGCTATTTTTAAAAAATGTTTTGTAGAGTTGGGGTTTTGCTATGTTGCCCAGGCTACTGAACTTTTTTTTTTTTTTTGAGACAGAATTTCACTTTGTACCTAGGCTAGAGTGAGTGCCATGGTGTCAGCCTAGCTCACAGCAACCTCAAACTCCTGGGCTCAAGCAATCCTTCTGCCTCAGCCTCCCAAGTAGCTGGGACTACAGGCATGCACCACCATGTCCAGCTAATTTTTTGTATATATTTTTAGTTGGCCAATTAATTTATTTCTATTTTTAGTAGAGATGGGGTCTTGCTCAGGCTGGTTTTGAACTCCTGACCTCGAGTGATCCGCCCACCTCGGCCTCCTAGAGTGCTAGGATTACAGGCGTGAGCCACAACACCCGGCCTGCTGAACATTTTTAAAAACATAACAGAGACTGGCTGCAGTGGTTCACGCCTGCAATCCCAGCACCTTGGGAGGCCAAAGTAGGAGGACTGCTTGAGGCCAGGAGTTCAAGACCAGCCTGGCCAACAAAGCAAGATCCTGTCTCTACAAAAAAGAAAATAATTAGCCATGTGTGGTATAGTGTGCCTGTAGTCCCAGCTACGCAGCAGGCTGAGGCAGGAGTATGGCAAAAGCCCAGGAATTTGAGGTTACAGTGAGCTATGATCTTGCCACTACACTCCAGCCAAAGTGACAGAACAAGACCTGTGTCTAAACAAAAAATTGTTCAAGCAGATTCAGGATAGATATTCCTTCAGGTAAGGGAAGCTAGGGGATGGAGGGCAAAGGAGTTCATACGGGCAAGTAAGTTATTATCAATGTTCCAGTCCTTGTGTTGGGTTGCTGACTTCACAGGTTTTTATACATTATGTAAAAATAAATACAAACATAAAGTGAGCCAAACCTGGACAATGAGACCGTGTCACAATCTACGCAATTCTGTGCACCTGAGCTAGAGGGGGAGAGGCAGACAATGGCAGAGAGTGGTCAGGGCAGACCTCTCTGGGAAGCCCATCCGAGCTGAACGAGGAGGAGAAGCTCCGGCCACATGGGGCTTGGGGGTGAAAGGGTTCCAGTGGAGGAGACAGTGCAAACAAAAGCCCAGAGGTAGGCCCACGCTTGTGTTTGAGGAACATCCAGTTTAAACGTGTGTATCTTTAGACTGCTGAGGCTCTTTCTGTGAATTTATCCTACGGAGATAACAGACAAGTATACAAAAATGTATGGACCAGGGTGTTGGCTGCCATAATTGTTTATAACAGCAAAAAAGGGGAAAACCATCTTAATGTCTTTCAAGAAGGGACTGATTATATCAATTACAGTACATCCATATAATAAATACTAAGCAGTCCTGAAGAAGTCCTATGCACTACATGAAAAAGAAAGAAAAAAGCAGATTACTAGAAATTACATATAGTACTAGCCCACTGGTGTAAAAAAACTATGTGTGCATGCCTTTATACACATTAAAATTTCTGGAAATTTATATTAAAATTTATTTAAAGTAGTACCCTTTTGGCCGGGTGTGGAGGCTCACACCTATAATCCTAGCACTTTGGGAGGCTGAGGTGGGAGAATTGCCTGAGCTTAGGAGTTCTAGACCAGGCTGAGCAAGAATGAGACCCCATCTCTACAAAAAAATAGAAAAATTATCTGGGTGTTGTGGCACACACCTGTAGTCCAAGCTACCCAGGAGGCTGAGGCAGGAGGAACACTTGAGCCCAGGAGTTTGAGGTTGCATCGAACTATGATGACACCACTGCACTCTACTCTGGGTTACAGAATGAGATTCTGTCTCAAAAAATAAAAAGGACCCATTTTTTAGAATGCAGATATTCACGTTTGACCTTATATAATTCAATATAGCTTGACTTTTTTTTTTTTTTTTTGGAGACAGAGTCTCGCTTGTTGCCCAGGCTAGAGTGAGTGCCGTGGCGTCAGCCTAGCTCACAGCAACCTCAAACTCCTGGGCTCAAGCAATCCTCCTGCCTCAGCCTCCCGAGTAGCTGGGACTACAGGCATGTGCCACCATGCCCGGCTAATTTTATATATATATTAGTTGGCCAATTAATTTCTTTCTATTTATAGTAGAGACGGGGTCTTGCTCTTGCTCAGGCTGGTTTCGAACTCCTGACCTCGAGCAATCCGCCCGCCTCAGCCTCCCAGAGTGCTAGGATTACAGGCGCGAGCCACCGCGCCCGGCTTAGCTTGACTTTTTATCACTAAAATATATTACTTTTTCCAATAATGAAAAATAAAGATACTCTGACTTTGATAAAAAGAATTTCAATAAGCCTTAACATGAAGGTTTTCATAGTCAAAGCCCTTCAAAATGGCTTGCTAAATAAATTCATAAATATATTAATTGTGGCAAAATCTATGTTTGTGAAGACTTTGTAGCCACATTAAAAAATGCTTAAGCTATAATTTAAAATGAGGATTGCAGGAAACTAAATAAAGTTAGCTAGACTAAAAATGTGCAGAGAGGCTGGGCACAGTGGCTCACACCTGTAACCCTAGCACTTTGGGAGGTCTAGGCAGGATTGCTTAAGGCTAGCAGTTCAAGATCAACCTGAGCAACACAAGCAGTCCCTGCCTCTACAAAAAAAAATTTTTTTAAATTAGCTAGATGTGGTGGTTTGTGCCTATAGTCCCAGCTACTTGCAAGGCTGAGGCGGAAGCATGCTTGAGCCCAGGAGTTTGAGGTTGCTGTGCGCTATGATGATGCCACTGCACTCTAACCTGGGTAATAGAGTGAGACCCTGTTGAAAAAAATAATAATAATAAGTAAAAATAAAATAAGTGTAAAGAGAAAAAAATAACTAGAAAAAAATACCATAATTTTAAGAGTGGGTATTTCTTGACATTGGGACAATAAATCCCAACAAATGGTTTCTTCCCCTAAATTTCAGTATTTCTGAAGATTTATACATTGAACACTTTGTGATCTGAAAACTTTTTCCCCCAAATTCAACAGCTGCTTAACAATCTTGTACTAGTTATTTATTGCTTTGTAATACATTATTCCCAAACTTAGAGGCTTAATAAAGCACACACTTACCATCTCAGTTTCTGTGAATCATGAGTCTGGGAAGAGTTTGGTTGGGTGGTTCTGGCTCAGGGTGTCTCTTGTGGTTGCAGTTAAGATGGTTGGGCCAGGGCTGCAGTCATCTGAAGGGTCGACTGGGGCTTGAGAATCTGATTCCAAGATGATCACTCACATGGCTGTTGGCAGGAGGCTTCAGTTCCTGGCCACATGTGCCTTTCCATCGGGCTGCCTGACTATCCTCACAACACAGCAGCTGACTTCCCCCAGAATAAATGATACAATCGAGACAGCAAGGAGGAAACCATAAAGCCTTTTATGTCCTAATCTTAGATGTCACATATTATCACTCTGCCACATTCTTCTAGTTAGAGGCAAGTCACTAAGTACAGTTCACACTTAACTGGGGGAGGGGAGGAAGAATCAGGCTTCTTTTTGAAGGGAGGAGTAAGAAAGAAGTTGAGGACATATTTTTGAAACACAACGTACATGGCTGATCTGTCCCCCTCTAAATTTCCCTCCTCCAGCCAGGTGGTGGCTCATTACGGAGCCATTATGGTGGCTCAACCTGTAATCCTAGCACTCTGGGAGGCCGAGGCAGGTGGATCATTTGAGCTCAGGAATGCAAGACCAGCCTGAGCAAGAGTGAGACCCCATTTCTACTGAAAATAGAAAGAAATTAGCTGGACAACTAAAAATATATAGAAAAAAAAAAGCCAGGCATGCTGATACATGCCTGTAGTCCCAGCTACCCAGGAGGCTGAGGCAGGAGGATCGCTTGAGCCCAGGAGTTTGAGGTTGCCGTGAGCTAGGCCAACCCCACAACACTCTAGTCTGGGCAACAGAATGAGGCTGTCTCAAAAAACAAAACAAAACAAAACAAAACAATTTCCCTCCTCCGACCTATCCACAACACATAGAACTCCTTAATGTTCCTAAAACACAACTCTGATCATATTACCCTGCAAATAAGAAACCTTCCCTGGCTACCCACAGAACAGGGAATTCCTTAATTGGTTTCTAAGGCCCAACTACCACATTGCCCCCCCCCACCAACTCCAGCTCAATATAAACCCATCCTGTTCCTCATGTACACTCCACACTCTATGGTCTTGGAGCCTTTCCATGTCCTAAATAGCTCTTAATACCTTATTCCCATCTCTTTCCTCTCTGCAGCCCTTTGCACTTGCTGTTTCCTCTGCTTGGAATGTTCTTCCCTCAGATCTTTGCATGGATGACTCCTTATCATGAAGGTCCAAACCCGCCCCAATCTCTACCATTCCCCTGTCCCAGTTACTTCCTCTCCATTACTTTGTTTTACCATAGCCATAACTACTATTTGAAATTATCTTATTTGTTTACCTGATCTTTGCTGTTGCCCCCAAAGTGCTCCTTAAGAACAAAGGCCACTGTCTTGTTCACAGCAGTAACCTAGTAGACCTAGATCCAGGTTCACTGCAGGGCATATATTAGCTGTTCAAAAAATTGTTGAATTCAATGTCCTCTTTTCCACGGAGTTGTTTTAGAAAGAATCTCACACCACATAAATGTCTAAGAAAGAAAAGGGGGTGGGAGGGTGAAGATGTTATCTCCCTCAGCTGAACTCCCATGCCATCTTGTCATTAATATGTCCTGGTGACTACAGGGGCCCAGATTCTGCCAGACTTTAACCATCTCTAGCTCCCAGAATCCATCACAGGGCCTAGGGAATGGTAAATATTAATAATTGTTTATTAATGGATGCATGCATTATGGAAGAAGGGAGGGAGGGGTAGTGAATAATGAATGTATTCTTTTCCCTGCTGAGAATAAAGACTGAAATCCTAGTCCAAATCAATCAGGTATTAAGGTTAGGAACTATTCAGATACACTGGAATAGTAATAACAACAGCAGGAACAGCTATAGGGGGAAGGACAGAACTTTGAAAGGCTGTAAGCACTGACATGATGGTGGTGCTCACCATACATCATTTAAAATAAAATGAATATTAAATGGGAAAAGTGTAAAGGTGTTAGAAGTTTCAAGCGTGCTTTTATTTTCCCTATGATCATGACTTTGATACCTTTCCTGAAGTTAAAGCCATCCCCACCTTGCCAATTTTTTTTTCATTATGTTGATGTCTCCGCGTTGCCGTGACCTGTATAACTACCGGGAAATCCAGTCCCAGATGACTTTTATTGAACATTCACCAGTTTATCAGGGATGTGTTTACATCCCTTATCCTGTTTAATCTGTAGAACAACCATATGTGGAAAAACTGCATTATCCCCATTATAAGGATAAGCAAGAGGCGACACTAGACTATGAACACAGGAAATTTGACTCCATCGGGCAAAGAACTGCCCAGGTTGCAGCTGTGAAGGTTTCAAACGTAAAGACTGCCAGAGTTCGGCCTCCTGCGAGGCAGACAGACCACTTGGGAGGCTGCAGAGCTTTCTCTTTCTAAGGGCTTTGGGCCTTTAAGAGTCGCCCCCTCCCACCAGGGATGCTCCAGTTACCACCCCACCCCCCCGTCCCCCGCGCCGCGGAGCCGCACCCGGCCCTCCTTCCCTGCCCCTCGCGCCCACAGGCTCGGTTCTCAGCCTTCGCCCGCCCAGAGGATGAGCTCTACCGCCACAGGCGCGTTCCCCGCGCCCCTACATCCCAGCGGAACGCGCCCTTGGAGACCCTGATCCCGACCCCTCCCAGCTCCTGCTTCCCAGGGGCGAGCCCTCAGCGCCCCCTGCCATCGCCCGGGCTCGCGACGCCGTGAAGGTGACCTCCCCCGGGGACGGCACACGCCGGGTGGCGCCCGAACCGGCTCACACGTGGTGAGCGGGGAGCGCGCGGCCCCTCCCCGCCACGCGCCTCTCCCTGCACCCCGGCCACGCCCCCAGGGCTGGCCCGCCCCGCGCCCCCCACGCTTCTCCCCGCCCGGGAGGAGGGACGCGCCCAAGGCGGACCGCGCTGGCGGCGGGGCGGGGTGGGACCCGGGGATGGGGCACTCACGCATCCACGAATCCCGCCCGGGATTTGTGAAAAGCGGGCCGTCCGCCCTGCTCAGGACCCTCGCCTGGAGCCCCGGCCCCTCGAGCCTCGGACTCGCGTCCTAGTCTGCGTGTCCTGGGTGTTCCGTATTTGGAAAGTGGGCGTCACAGTCCTTCTTTCTCAGAATTCCTGTGGCGCCTCACACGAGATTAAAACAAGAAAGAAAGAAAAAAGGGTTCGTTGGGTCCCAAAGCATTTGAGCCCCTATGTGGCCGGACCCTGTGTGCAGCAGGCGGGGCAACACCTATGACAACGTGAGTTGGTCCCCCCCAAATTCTCTTCTGGGACGGTGCGAAAAGCCGTCCCCCAAAGAGGAGGGGGCGGAAATCCTACCTGGCGGCAGGTGTCACGGAATAAGCTAAAATTTCAAAGGCAAATTGTAGCGAGGACAAGCCTCGAGAGCCAGATGGGAAGCACGCTCGGCGTCCCCTCCCCTCCCCTCAGCCCCCAGCCTAAGAAAAGAAACCGATCTCATCCGTCTCCCCCAATCCCAGCCCCGACACGGCTCAGCCCCGCAGCCCGAGCCCCGCCCAGCTCCGGCGGCCAGCGATTGGGAGATGCAAATACCAGGTTCTCTGCCCAGCAACGGGTGACGCGCCGCCCGGGCGCGAGGCGTGGCCCGGCCGCAGCCCAAGCGGGCACCTCGGTGTTTACACGGGGCGGCCCCGCGCGCGCCGCAGCGGCCCGCAGACGGCGAGGGGGAGGGGTGGCGCGCGCGCCGGCGGGGCCGCGCGGGGAGAAAGACACTGAAAGGCGTCGGCGGCGGGGCGGGGAGCGGCGCGCGCGGGCCGCGGCGGAGCCGGAGGCTGCAAGGAGAGCCCGCGGGGGCCTAAGGGTGTGCGATTCCTCCGCCCCCGCAAAACAATGTGCGGTGTGCTCCCGGGCGCAACTTGCCGGAGGCGGCGGGGGCGCGCCGAGCCCGCCTGAGACCGCGCCGCTGACCTCCTCCCCCCGCCGTCCGTTGGGCCCGAGCGCCCAGCTCCTTGCTCCCCAGCTCGCGGGGGCCGGGCCGATCCGCGGGGCGGGGCCGCCCCTCCGTCGCCGCTGCCTCCTCCCCCACCCCCAGCCGCGGAGGATGCGGACGGCCCCCGGCGGCGTCTAGCGGCCCCGGGCCCAGGCGCGATGGTGCAGCAGCGGGGCGCGAGGGCCAAACGGGACGGCGGGCCGCCGCCCCCCGGGCCCGGGCCGGCCGAGGATGGGGCGCGCGAGCCCGGCTGGTGCAAGACCCCGAGCGGCCACATCAAGAGGCCGATGAACGCGTTCATGGTGTGGTCGCAGCACGAGCGGCGGAAGATCATGGACCAGTGGCCCGACATGCATAACGCCGAGATCTCCAAGCGCCTGGGCCGCCGCTGGCAGCTGCTGCAGGACTCGGAGAAGATCCCGTTCGTGCGGGAGGCGGAGCGGCTGCGCCTGAAGCACATGGCGGATTACCCGGACTACAAGTACCGGCCGCGCAAAAAGAGCAAGGGGGCGCCCGCCAAGGCGCGGCCCCGCCCCCCCGGCGGCGGCGGTGGCGGCAGCCGGCTCAAGCCCGGGCCGCAGCTGCCCGGCCGCGGGGGCCGCCGAGCGGCGGGAGGGCCTTTGGGGGGCGGCGCGGCGGCGCCCGAGGACGACGAGGACGACGACGACGAGGAGCTGCTGGAAGTGCGCCTGGTCGAGACCCCCGGGCGGGAGCTATGGAGGATGGTCCCGGCGGGACGGGCCGCCCGGGGACAAGCGGAGCGTGCCCAAGGGCCGTCGGGCGAGGGGGCGGCCGCCACCGCCGCCTCCCCGACACCGTCGGAGGACGAGGAGCCGGAGGAAGAGGAGGAGGAGGCGGCAGCGGCGGAGGAAGGCGAAGAGGAGACGGTGGCGTCAGGGGAGGAGCCGCTGGGCTTTCTGTCCAGGCTGCCCCCGGGCCCCGCCGGCCTGGACTGCAGTGCCCTGGACCGCGACCCGGACCTGCCGCCACCATCGGGCACGTCGCACTTCGAGTTCCCGGACTACTGCACCCCCGAGGTTACCGAGATGATCGCAGGGGACTGGCGCCCGTCTAGCATCGCCGACCTGGTTTTCACCTACTGAGCCCACCGTCAGCGGGGCGCGCAAGCCCCCAAACCAGCTGTTTACATACAGGAATCAGGTATTGGGGCCCCTCGGAGGCCGAGGCTGGCACCCCATCTCCCGCGCAGCCTCCCCCCTCCTGGACGTGCCCATCCCCCCTCAAATCCAGACATGCCCCTCCCCCGCAGACACACCCCAAGGCAGCCCAACCCCCACCCCTTCCCTGACATCCAAGCCCCTCCCCACATTGCCCCCTCCTGCACAGCCACCAGCAGCCAGCCCCCCTCCGATACACCTCCCAGCCTCTCCTACAGACCTGCACCCCTCCCCCACTTTGCACACGCCCCTCCTCGTGGCCGGAGGACACGCCCCCTCCCTTGCTCCTGAATCCCTCCTCCTTCGCCCAGCCTGCCTTCTTGGTTAGGGGGGCGATGCGACTGGGCTGCACCGCGCGCTCCGCCCTTGCCCCGCCCCTCCGCGGGGGAGGGAGGCGCTCTTTTATCCCCAGAGCGTTAGGGCCCGCCCCCCGCTGGGACCCACCCTCTTCTCGCGCATGCTTAATACTCCTTGGGAGGAGGGGGCTGGTGGCAGTCCAGCTTCGCATCTCCGTCTCCTGCTCCAGGAAGAAGGGGGGCAAGTGTAGGACGATCCTGAGAAATCCTTTGATCTGAAAGCCCATGGCTTCCTCCCAACCCGACGGGGCGTCACTGCCTTAATGGGAGGAGCACTTGGAAATAGGAGAAAGAGACTAGGTGGCTCGGAAGCGTTGGTTTGGGCCTGGAACTCTCCCAAGTGGCATAGCCCCCTTTCCCTTATGGGGTCGCCCACAACCCATGCGCACCGCCTCCCCGACTGCGTGACTGCCTCTACAGCCTATCTTGGTCCCCAGGAACGTCCCTTCCTTTCCCCCAACTGGAAATTGGGGGTAGGGTTTTTCTCTGGAATTCCGTCAGTAGAGGAAGGGGCTGTCCAAGAAAACTCAGAACCAAGACGCCTACCAGTCTTTTTGGGGACAGGGTCTCTGCTGCTCCCTTCCCCTGGAAGTGCCCTATCACCTCAAGGCACCTTCTCAACCTGGGCCCCTTCCTGTCACCCAAGTCCACCCTCATTCAGTATTCAGCGGGACAAACTGAGGTACGTCGGTGCTAAGGGTTTGGGATTGAGACATGATAGCAGATGGGATGGCAGGAAGAGTCCATTGACCGGGCCAGTGAGACTGATGGGCCGTTTGCACCTCAGTTTTTCCATGTGAGAAATGGGCACAGCGCTGTTGTAAGGAGAAAGTTCTGACCAGTTCAGGGTGCCCTTGGGAACCGCCCCTGATGCTGTTACCCCCCTTACTGCATCTCCCCACTCGAGCCCCGCCCCTCCGGCCTCCCCACGCCCCCTTTGCCCTCACTACCTGTATCTCACCGGCGTGGGTTCACCCTCCCGGGTGATCCACACACTCTCATTCACACACACAAATCTCAGGAACAAACGGTCCCCAGAGTCCTCCGGGATCCCTGCCCAGGGTCTTTGCAGGTCTCTGCCCCACGCGTTCCCGTCGCTGACAAAGCCACCAGCTGCCTCCTTTAAGCTTGGTGCTCCGGCTCTGGGCCTTTCTTGCGCTCTTTCTTTCTCTCTCTCTTTTTTTTTTTTTTTTTTAAGAAAAACAACAACAAAAAGACAATGAAAAAAACAGAAAACGTCATGTGAGTGAAGAGATGTCACTGTCTGTGGTCTTGGAGAACTAGTCTCGTAGCTAAGGGGAGGGTCCCTCCGTCTGGGGCACTGGCACCCACAGCAGGACTTCCGCCAGTCTGATGCCAGGACTGAATAAAGTGTATTTGCCCCGACCTCGCCCTGTGGTTCTGCATGTCTGTGCTTTTCCTCAACCCTCTCCAGTTTGCCAGGTTCAAGTCCATGTGATTTAGGCCCAAGCTGTCCCAGGGTAAGCCGCCTGGCCTCTCTAGGCCTCTGTCTCAGGACTCGCTGACCTTCATTAAGGGCAGCAAACTCATCCCTGTTGGGGCCATAAATGACTAAGTCTGAGTGGACACTGGCGCGATGACCCAGTGTCCAAGGCTGGCAGCTGCCCACCTCCTGCCAGTTGTGACCCCGTGGGAATGTGGTCCACAGTGGCCAAACGGCCAGATTTTTCAAGAGAATCTAGAGATATGAGTGTTCCTGAGTCATCTGAATTTCAAAATGACAGTTGACTCGAATATTTTTAAATTGTGGGCCACATGAAACAAGTGTGCAGGCAGGTCTAGTCCAAGGGGGCCAGCTTGACCTTGCCCTTAATGAGGATTAAGAAGCAGGGTTGAGCCACACTGGGCTCCAAGCCCAGCTCCACCACTGAGCACCTGTGTGACCTTGAGCAAATTAACTTCGTCTCAACCCTTCTTTCCATGTGTGTTAACATGGGGATGACAGTACCTGCTTCACAGGAAAAAATGTTTGAGGTGAGAAGCATTTAACATGGTGCTCCATAGATTTTGTCACTCCTGTCCAGAGGAGGAAACGGGGCCAGGTGGTGAAGCATCTTGCAGGAGGACCTGCAAGTGGCCAAGGTCAGAGACAGGGCCCAGAATCTTGGTTCTGCCTTCTGCTGCTGCAGTGTTACTTCAGGGTGCTGGCTCTCTGTTTGAATCTGCAGGTGGTGCTAGGCCTGGCGTGCTGGGGTTGGCCCCAGGGCCTGGCACACAGTGACATGCAGTGTAGATTTATTAAATGACCAAAGAGCAGCAGAAGCCTGTCTTTGAAGTTCTGACCAGTGCATTTTGGAAACTGAGACCAAGGCTTTCCCCTGCTTTGTCCCTCTGCTACCCCTCCCCCTAATTCTTCCTCTGCCAGATCCAGTGAATTCCTAAGCTGGGACAAAGCCTCTTTTCCCAGTAAGAGCCAAGGCTGAGTGTGGGAATTACAGTGACAGCTTGGTTGGAAGCAAGCAGGCAAAAAAAAAAAAAAAAAAAAAATCTGCAAGAAGAGGTAGAATTGAGAAGGTGTGGAAGACAGGGCTACGTGCCACTCAGAAGCCCCTTTAGGGAAGGACTTCCCCAGCTGTGGGAAGTGTGGTCAGGGCCGGCCTCAGCTGCAGAGAGCCCTTCACCCGAGACCACGCCCTTCTCTTCCCTGGCAGCCTGCCTGTGGTGTCTGAAACACCTGGCCTCTGCAGTCCAAAGTGGGACACTGACAGGCAGCCCTTGCACCAGGTCCCCAGCCCTTCCCCACCCAGGGCAGCCAGGGCTTTATCAGGCCTGCCACATGGTTTGCCTTCTTCCTGTGCCCAATCCTGCTTCCTCTTTTTTTCACAGGTATTCATCCCTAATAAACATCTTGCACCCCAAACTCTGTCTCCGTGTCTGCTTCTGGAGGAGCCCTGTCTGCAGTGGAGGGTGCAAGGGGTGGGACCAAGGGAATGGGGTCACTGGCCCAGCTGCTGCAGCTAGGCCCCTCCCCTCGCTATCCCCCCATCTTGGGAGACTCCCCTCCACCACCACCGTCAGCGCCTACCTTGTGCTTGTGCCCTGTCCAAGTCTACACCCGTCAGTGTTATTTAGAAACTCCAGCCTCAGCCCACAAGTCCCTCCAGAGCTCTCAGCCGATGCCACGCTCACAGTCCCTCCCCTGGGAAAAGCTGGAGGGAAGGATGAGGTGATCACCTGAATTTGTCCTTCAGAGTGGCCTGGGAGGGAGACAGAGCAAGGGAGGGCAAAAATGCCTGACCCAGGATGGTGCTGGAGCTGTGGGACCTTGGGCAAGTCTCTCCCCCTTTGCTGGCCGTAGTTGCCCCTTGTGTAAAGTGGGGGAAGGGGCAAGAGGACCACAAGAGAGATTGGTTTCTTTTCATTTTGGTTTCTCCCATTTCAGATGCTGACCTGAAAAGGGGGGAGGGTGGGGGATGCCTGCTTATGGGGACTCTGGGGACACCTAGTGGCTGAGATGAGTAGAACGCAAGTTGTGCGGTTGGAGGTGGGAGTCAGGGCGTGTCTCTCTGTGAGGAAGGGTCCCTTCCAGTCTGGCTCCATTCATGTAGCATGACTGCTGGGTTATGTCCCTTGCCTGGGTGACTTGAACCATCTTGGTTACAAAGCTTTAAAAACACCCACGCACTGATACATTGGTTATCTTCTGTTCCTGCACAACAAATTGCCACAAACGTAGCAGCTTCAGACAACATGCATTTATTATCTCACAGTCTCCTCGGCTCAGGAGTCCAGGCGTGCCTTAGCTGGGTCTCTGCTCAGGATCTCACCAGGCAGCAACCAAGGTGTTGGCCGGCTTGCATTCCTTTTTGGAGCTCAGGATCCTTTCCCAAACTCACGTATCTGTGGGCAGAATTCAGTTCCTTGTGATTACAGGATAGAGGTAGGTCCCTGTTCTCTTGCTGGCTGTCAGCGGGTGCCACTCTAGATTTCTAAGAGCTGTTCACAGTTTCTTTCCACATCGCCCCTGCGTGGCCTCCCCAGTCCTTGAACAACATTGCAAATTATTTTGTCAAGGTCTGCAAGAGGATCTTTCTGCTGATTGCAGTCACTTGGCTCAGGGAAGGTTTAAGCTCTCTTTTAAAAAGCATCCCTGATGAAGTCAGGCACACCCAGTAAAATCTCCCTTTTGATTAAAAATCAACTAATTTGGGACCTTGAAAGTATATTTGCAAAAATCCTTTCACCTTTGCCATATACTGTAGCCTAATCATAAAAGTGACAACCATCACACTGGCCTCCCCCACACTCCAGGGGAGGTTAAGCAGGGCACGTGCACCAGGGACTGGAAATCTCGAGGCCATCTTAGAATTCTGCTCTATGGCAGCTGAGATTCTCAAGTCTCCGTCTCCAGCCTTGGCATTGCCAGACCAGCTGCCTTCTTGTCATCTCCACTGGGATGTCTAATAGGCACCTCAAACTTGACATGTCAGAAAATGAATTCTGGCCGGGCGAGGTGGCTCACACCTGTAATCCTAGCGCTCTGGGAGGCCAAGGCGGGTGGATCGTTTGAGCTCAGGAGTTCAAAACCAGCCTGAGCAAGAGCAAGATCCCATCTCTACTAAAAATAGAAAGAAATTATATGGACAACTGAAAATATACCATGTTTCCCTGAAAATAAGACAAGGTCTTATATTTTTCCTCAAGAAGACACCCTAGGGCTTATTTTCAGGGGATGTGTCATTTCTTTTAAGTAAAGTACAACAATCTACATTTATTCAAATATAGTTAAGTCATCTTCCTCAGGAACATCATCACAACTCTACAAACCCCGAATTCCATTCTAAATTTCTTGTGACTTTATTTCCTTTAGAACCATTGGCCTCAATCTCTCATGTTGAGCAATAGAGCTCTCCTGGGGCAGATGAGAAGGGCTGCTCATCTTCTTTACTGCTCCTTGATGAAATGCATGGGTTGTGCAGAAGCACTGCGTAGCCACGCCCATCACTAGGTCTTATTTTCTGGGTAGGACTTCTATTGCGCAAATGTTTAGAAATCCTGTTGGGGCTTATTTTATGGGTAGGTCTTATTTTCAGGGAAGCACGGTATATAGAAAAAATTAGCCAGTGTGGTGGTGCATGCCTGTAGTCCCAGCTACTCGGGAGGCTGAGGCAGGAGGATCACTTGAGCCCAGGAGTTAGAGGTTGCTGTGAGCTGAGCTGATGCCATGGCACTCTAACCGGACAACAGAGTAAGACTCTGTCTCAAAAAAAAAAAAAAAAAGAAAAGAAAATTTTTTTTTTTTTTTTTTTTTGAGATGATGTCCAGGTTGATCTTGAACTCCTCAAGAGATCCTCTCACCTTAGCCTCCTGAGAAGCTGGGACTACAGGCCTGTGCCGTCTTACCCGGCTTTTTAGAAAATGAATTCTTGTTTCCACAGTGCTCCTGGGCCTGGTGCCCCACACCACATCTGCACAGCTGATGTGGAATTAAAGACCCAAACCTTTCAGCCATCCTAGAATGCCCTTTCCCTCATAGCTTTATATCCCTTCTATCCTGTTGGCTTCACCTTTGAAATGGGTCCTGTGTCCTGTCACTTCTCACATCTTCCATGGCCACCACTGCCTCAGGCCTAGTGTCCTGTACCAGCCTCTCTGGACTCATTGCTTTTCTCTTTTTCCCACTTAGAGTCATCCGCATAGCAGCCACAGTGATCCCGTTACACATTCATATAAATCAGACCGTGGTCTGCCTCTGCTCACAGCCCTCCCGCGGTTCATGTCTCACTCAGTAGGTGCCAAAGTCCTCAGCATATCCTGTGAAGCCCAGTGAGAAGTGGCCTGCGGCCTTCCTGGGGACTCACCTCCGACCATGTTTTCCTTCTCTCACCATGCTGCAGTCACACTGGCATCCTTGCTGTTTGCTACACCTGCCAAGCACACCCCTATCTCAGGCCCTTGGCACATGTCACTCCCTCTGCTTGAAATGCTTTTCCCTAAGATAGCCACACGAGTGACTTCCTTCCAGTCTCAGCTCCTATGTTACCACCTCCCTGACCATTCACATAAAGCAGGCGTCCTCAAACTATGGCCCTCGGGCCACATGTGGCTGCTGAGGACATTTATCCGACCTGCCAGGTGTTTTTGCCATCGCTGCCTGTCCTGCTTAGCTGCCAACTCGTCCCGGGCCCACGGTGCGCATGTGTGGAGTGTGTGCCTCACTCTCCCATGGCCCTCCAACGGTCTGAGGGACAGTGAACTGGCCCCCTGTTTAAAACATTTGAAGACCCCTGATAAAGTATCGCCCTCCTTACACTATCCCCTTACTTTGCTTTTACTGAATAGCGTTTATCACTATCTGGTATTTATCATATGTAGTTTTTACATTTATTTATTTATTTATTTTTGAGACAGAGTCTCACTCTATT